TAAGCTAACGGGAGGAATCACAGTACCTCACACATCAACACACTTCAGGAGAAAAAAGAAAGGGAAGAAATCACAAACCAGCAAGAGAAAAAGAACACCTCTTTTAGTCTACACGTCACCCAACACAGGACATTCCATGGGCTAGGTGTTCAGGCACTGTTCTTGCTGGGTCCTGTTGGGTACCAACGGCCCAACAGGGATTTGGAAACAGACCACAGTATTCCCAAGACAAAAGGAAAATATGGAGCCTCTGAAATGGAAAAAGTCCTGGAGAAACAGAGAAACTCCCCTCCCATCATCCCCAGACCTGTACAAAAGGGACAGACACCTCTTCGAAGTCACTGTGAAATGATGTGACACCTCCATTTGTGCTTGGCACTTTTCTAATGAGCAGCCAGCTCACTCAGGTTTACGGGCAGTATCCACCCGCAGGTGTAAAATCAAAATGTAAACTGCTTTGAACAACCATGTGAGGGACCAGCAGAAACCAGTCAGAGCCTGGAGAGAGGAATGAGTGTTTAAAGGTTGGAAGGTTGCCCTGGGAAGTCCGTGTAACTTTGAAGAACAGTAGAGGGCAATTCTATAGACAGTGCTTAGCTCTGGTGCCCACCTTCCATGAACAGCCTCTGCCACTTTCTACAGAGTTTCATCCACTGCATCTAGAAAGTTCTCCTCCCATCCACAAAACACAGCCTACAACCTATGCTTAAACAACCTCATTGGGTCTGGCTACTTCTGTAACCCATTACTACCTGGAGTTAAAAAAAAAAACCACTGTAAGTAACAAAATGCAAAAAGTTTCACTCAGCATCACTGCTTAGGAGGTTCCTACAAATTTAGCATTTGCTTGCTGTTGTGCTTGCTATTTTCAGACTTTTCCCAATAAAAGGTGAAGAGAGGCCACTGGAAAACACATGGGCTCTGGGTGCCTGGGTGAGGCACAGGCTGTGTCCTCTCTGGCTGGTCTGCTGGCCCATGCTGGGCTGGGTGTGCTTCTCGCAGGCCCTTTTGTACATGCCATTGGTGCATCTCTGGCTGGAATCGAAAAGGCGGAGGAGGAAACCGAACTCCAGGAGTTCAGGCTTTGGGTTAGGCAAACACAGAAAATAAAACTGTGTTTGTGCTGAAGTCTTCGTACCACCCCATGGAACGAGCCTGAGAGCTCTCCCTTCCACTGGCGCCTTTCCAGCGGGATCGCCAAGCGCTCTGCACATCTACCACCTGCGTCATTGCCCCTTTCCCCCTCTCCTCTGCTCTCGCCGCCTTGGAAGCTGCACCAATGGTTTGCTCTAAAGACCCCTCGGGTCTGTACAGTCGCTCAGTTCAAGAGGCTGAGTAGTTTAAATGTTGTACGAAACAGAGGGTCTTAAAGACAATGCTGGGCAAACCGAACAAACCCAGAAACTCACCTCCAGAAACAACAAAGCAAGGAAAATGCTAAACAGAAAACACAAAAAAAAATAAAATCACAAAAATAAGAATGAAACAATGGGCTCAAATTAAAACATAATAACACAGGTTGAACAAATATTCTCTTTAAAACCAAACTTTGCAACAATGACAAAAACAACATACCAGCCTAGATTGTTATCCTGAAAAACCACAAAACAAAAAGGCCCGTTCAGGATAGAGTTCACCAGGTGAAAACAAAACTGTGGTCAGAGAAATCTGTTCACATTAAGTCCCTTTGGCGGAGCAGAGGACAAACCGCAGCCATCCTGGGAGATCGATGAAGCAGGAACTACAAACCGAATGCAGGTGGAATATTGTAATAAAGGACTTTGAGTCAATTGCAAGATAGATAATATCTCAACACCACTGTAATAATGCGTGTATTATCAAAACCGATCCACACGACACCGTAGCACTTCACAATCTGTCAACCACAACACAACTCGTGGCTCACGCAGCAGCCAATTGCAGATCTAAATCCGAAGGCACCACTTTGGACCCCCCAAGCAGGCTGACACACGAAATAAGCAGCCAGTTTTTTAAGCTTAGGAAATGACACTTTGCAGCTGGTGCAATAAAATGACCATTTCCTGGAGCTCGGTTATGAAGAGAGGCTGGAATGGCAGAGGAGAGTGGAGGAACCGGTGCAAACAAACTGCAGGCACAGGAGCGTACAAACCACGAGTGCACACTGTATTCGCACAGCAAAGATGCCAGAGGTGGAGAAGCAGATACAACACCACAGGGGACGTGGTGGCCTAGAAGGAGGCGGAGGGGAAGAGACAGGCTCTCAGTCCTTGATGTAGGACCGACAAGGGAGAGAAGCAAAACAGCAAGCACAGCACCTTGCCAGTGAAACAGCAGGACAACCGATATGACTTTCCACCAGAGTCAGCCCCAGGACAGTTTTATCACCTCTGCAGGAGGTGGACAAGCACGCCAGGAACATGAACATCATCACTAAGGAAATGCAAGTCATGGTGCCCTCTGCTAACATCCGAGAGACCTGTTTTGACTGATGCAAGTGGAGAAAATGTTGATGTTTTCAGAACACTGATTCATGCTATAGCTGCCTATTGCTATAGGAATTCATTCTCATATGTTATGAAAATAAAATCAAATTTCAAACCCAAAAAATTACTCCTTAGGAGAAAAAAAAAATATATAAACTGATAGCGTTGACCCACTTTTGCAGCAGGCCTTTGGCAGCTTTGTCCCAGTTTCTCCCAGCCTCTGCTCATCACCCACTTAGGGGTACCCAAGCTCTTAAGGCATTTGCTTTTTGCAGCGATATCTCCACATGCCAAAAATCCCATTTCCAAGTATCCCCAGCACTTTTTCATTCTTGGCATGTCCAGGTCTGAATTGCTTCAGAGGCTTGATCTGACAGGTCTTGCCATCAACACGGCATCTGCTCCATCTTCGTGACCACTGCACAGCTCAAGACCATAAGAAATGAAGTACATCTGGCTGTCAACCCTATCACTAGCTCTACTGTGTTGGATAGAGATACCTAAGGGATAGGTGCTGCAAACCTGAAAGCTGTAGCTGCTGAGTCCCTTTGCAGTTCACTATGTATTTTTGTATTAAACAAATTGCTTTGGCCTGCATTCATTAAATATCTTTTGAAACATCAGCCAGCAATCCATCTGCACACCTATTTGCCGCTCACAAAACCTCCAAATTCTCTCTTGCCTTCTCCTCTATGTCATTATCCATTTGTTCATCAACCTGTTGACCTTAAGGCATTCTTCCTCCAAACTACAGTCCGGCGAGCTTTGTGAGCGGCCTTGGAAGCACCTCGCTGGCACTAAAGCAGAGATAACAGGACGTCATGCGACTGTTGTTAGATGATGGCTCCACACAGCATGCACGATGTTGTCGTGGTTAGTAGATGTGGAAGCAATCGACTGCACTTTCAAATGTGTTAATTTGTAAGCCTAATTATCTGCCTGTACAAAAGTGGCAGGCAGGGATCTGGGCAGATACAATTTGAAGTAAAAAAAGCATAAATCCACAGTTTTGTACTCACTTTCAATTGTGGTCTCAAAACTGGCCCTGTGATATTCAAAACCAGGTGAAAGCCTGGTGAAAAATCATGGAGTAAGGTCATGTTAAGCAACCAACAATGTGGTGTGAAATCCTAAGCTCCATTAAAGTGGGGTTTTTTTTCTGATTTCCAAGGATTCTTCACATGCACTATGCTTTTGATTAAAAAGGAAGAAAATAAGCATCATTATCTTCCATTTTAAAATAACAATACCAGGAAATTCATCAAAGAAGAAGAGCAAACATCGTCATTTGACTTCTTTTCGAGACCAGACAGGAAATAATTGTAAGAAAAGGATTATATTCAAAACCAACAAACAGACATGGCATAAATAGAAGCTGATTAAAGCGGTAATTGCAAAATAAAATGGTAAGAAAAATAAAATATCCAAATTAATAATCTTCTTTTCCTTCACATATAATGAACTGGCTCCATTTGGCCTATTGTCTTCAATGTAGTGGATTCAACTCCCACTAACAAGAGTTTCAAGAGATTTACACTGAAGGAGCAAACAGGGATCCTGCTGTATTTAAAATATTTTGGAATAAAATTGAACAGGAAATTTCTTTTGCTATGCTCAAGCTTCTCCAGCCTTTGGTGGTCTCCCCTGCAGAAGGGAGCTAGAAAATACCAGCAGATCTCCGTAAAATGCACGACCGAATTTTTTGATGCTGGAAGTCCTGATGCTAATATTCCAGAAGAGGTAAATGAACCTTTAAGAATATACTTTTAAGCAAATCCATTCAAGGTAGGCATGTCTCCAACACAGGCCCATAATCCCATGCAGGCAGAACTCTGCTCTGACCTCAGCAACATCCAAACAAGTATTTCCACCTACACATCAATTTTTCACTTCAGTTTTGATCAGTGTATATGAAAAGGTGAGCCCCAAGGCAATGTTTTCTAAGGACCGTGCTATCACAGAATCTGAGCATACATCCATATCCTTGCAGAAGAGTCTGCATCTGAAGATGCAAATTAATGTTTCTAGCTACAAACCACTGACTCTTCACATATGTGATTTTATTCAACCCAGCACTCTTTCAAACAGCAAAGAAAGAGCATTCAAGCATATTTTTCAGCCTGGTGTTTAGAAGTATGTCTTTACTCTTAAATTCTCAAAGAAGAGATTATTAAAGAATAGTTCATACATTCTGTGCGCACATACCTCTCGTAATTATAAATCCAAAGTGAAATGTTAACACTTCACCTGGTGAAATCTATCCTAGGACAGCTTAAAAAAATTCTTCTAAAATACAGTTATTTACAGCAAGGCAAAAGATGAGGCATTACAAGGAAAAACAAACTAAAAGAAATACCTCATTAAATTCATGGTTAAGCGATCAGGGCTGAAGTATTCAGTCGACCTAAAGCCCTGTCAGTAACAGCAATGGTATAAAAGGCCTCACAGAGTACTATGGGATGCTCCACTTGAACAGATGTGTATCGACACTGAAAAACAGAAACCAAAGTTCCCAAATAACAAAACAATGCTTACGCGGCTATGGAAATGTTAGCTGCAGACATGGGGCTGACTTCTGCCACTTCCTTGGCCTTCTGCAGGGCGAGCTTTTGATTGGTGGCTTCCTCCATCTCCTCCTCATCCTGGTGCAGAAAACCAAGAGAAATCAGAGCATGCATCGCGTAACGACATTAACTAGAGCTCTCCAAGGAACGAGACAGACATGACTGTCGCTGCCACACTGCAAGAACAGTGGAATAAATAAGGCAGAATTTCATCATTTCTTGTAAGGACCCTGGGGTAGGGCCTTGGTGCCAGCAACAGCTGATCAAGATGAGAAATGCAAGGTTTGGTCAAGTGCTCAGTGCATTTTTACCAACACATCTCCCCTGCAAAGCTTTCTTACCTCTCTTGGGTCTCCTCTTGCCCCTTAGCATTCAGACTGTGGCAGAGCAGGGAGAGACCTGACCGCAAGCGTGACATTTCTGGGGTGGAGTGAGCCCCATTTCTCTCAGTCTTGCGTGTGTAAAAGCACTCTGAAGCCTGTGTCTTACTGAAATGTATGACACAGACTCCTAAAACCTTCATGACTTCTGGTCAACGTGACTTTTCTGAGCCAAGAAGTTTCAGGATTTGACCAGTCCCTCTCACACTAGCTTTAACCCTGATATTTCCGCTTATTTCAGTTGAATCTGAGGACTCAGAGGGTGAAAACAGAGAGGATGAGCCATATTAAAGCAGAGTCTGTAGACTCAAGCATAGATCAGAAAGATGGTTATGTTCATGCATTCTGTATACCCTCAAATCACGTGGATTTTTAAACTCAATTGGCATTGCAAGTTCCCACAAAGTATAACTGTGATTTATTTTCCTCCTACCTGTTGTAATGACCAGAGAAATACTGCTGAAATTCAAACCACAGCATCTTAAGAAATGAGATGAGGGCAAAAGGCAAGGAAACAGCCTGGTTCATCTTCAGTGGTCGTCTGGGCTAAACTTCCTTCGAACTTTCTAGCCAGTCAAACGACACAGTAAAATCCTGGCAGGATAAACGCGGACCCTCTGATGGCAATGTCAGCACTGCACATATCCAAGGAATAACCACACGTCAAGACGAGAGCAGTCACAGGCTCTTCTGTCAAATGTTATGAAACGTCACGGGTCTAGCCCTGCTCTCCAAAGGTAATGCTGTGAAAGACTTCTGCTTAAAATAATGCAAGCAGACAATAAGACATCTAGCTTTGAAATACGAAGTCATATAGATTTATCCAACCTGAATATCATATGCATAAACAATTCCTTGCTCTGACTTTGGTGTTATTTGCTTAAACCAAATTAATTTTGAGACTGTTTTCCTTTTCTCCTTTTGAAGAAAAAAGGAACTATAGGAAATTAATTTTAAAAATCTGTTACCAATAAAGTTCGGTGTCTTTTTTTCCTTTCCAAATATTAGCAAATCTGTAACAAGTAAATTCCTACTGTAGCGAGTGAAGAACCTGAGAGGTGCCATGAGAAAAAGCCCTTCTGAACAACTGCACAAAGTCAATGTTTCTCAACTGCCAACGTCCAGTAAATCTATCAACGATTTGGAAGCTTACTGTAAATCAAGGGTATCTGCAAAATACGAATCTTTTGAGCAAGAAGGGCCCCAATAAGAAGGCTTTTAAGGTTTCCCTTTCATTCCGCAGTATCTTCAAGTTGTTTCTTCTCCTGACAACTCTCCAGCAGCGTTAAAATCCCAAACGTTCAAAGGCTCTTGATTCTTCTTTCTGTGCACCGAAAGTGCCAGGTGCAGTTTTTACCATCTCTTTAAAATTTGTAGCTTCATCTCCGCTCTCCCCAGTGCATCAGTGATTTTGCTGGATTCGACATCTCAAAGTAACAGCAGAAAATACCTGTTGTCATTATAAAAGCAGCTCTCCTTAACTCCGAACAAGCACACTCTTCAGCAGATAACTACTTCATGATATTTCTGTAGCTCCTTCCATCCAGAGATCGCAGATTGTTACAAAAATTATCTCATTTTTTCCTGATATTACACGGTGGACTCTCACGGGGGCACAGGCTCATCTTGTTCTGCTTGAAGCACGCAGGGGTGTGACGGTGCGTGACTGAAGCCAGCTCTGAGCTGTGATGGCAACTTCCATCCATCCCACCTCCCGCCAACAGCCCAGCTCCAGCAGCTCGACAGTCGCCGTCATTATACAGGGGCAAGAGCAGATAAAGGCCTTGCCTAGAAGGACACCTCTCTTCTGTGTTTCTTTTGTATTTTCTAGAGCTCTAAATCTTCATTTAGACCATATAGCTCATCACATGGCAAAACCCATCTTCGCTGCTACCCACAACGATGTGCATCATTAACGCTGACTGTTCTGTATGAAGTTCACCCCGTTAAAGCCCTCTCCATTGGGAAGGAGCAGGAGGGGTCTTCATGTCTTCCAGACTCTTCTTTTTTGCCACTTCTTTCAGTCATTATTTCTGGGTATTTCTGAGAAATTTCATATTTTTTTTTCTATAAAATTCACACGCTCCTCCTATCTCACATTGCATGCTTTTCTACTGTTTTCTCAGGGATTGCTGGCAGTGGACAGAGATCAGCGAACACACTTTGTGCTTTAGATTGATTATTTAGCAAAATAAATTATCACTTGTGGCAGCTTTACATGCCAGTTTAACGAGGACGAAGAATGAAATGTTGTGTGTCACTGGAGTCATCGCAGGATGGTCAGCAGAGAGATTTTAAAAGCAAATATTGGGGGCAATTTTAGATTCCTCTCTGAATAAGTGAACAGGAAGAAAAACCTGCCAATATATGGAAGAAACTAGAGGGTAGGCAACCAAAGAGACTCAGGACAGTTCTGAGAAATCACTAGAAATTAAGCTGGCAGAGCTTAAGTCAGTGGTAAACGAGAGCCAGCACAAGAAGAGGAGAGAGACCTCGGGAGGGAGAGGCAGAGGTTGGAGAACAGATCCTTTATATCTTCAAAGCAAAGGTGATTGTCTTTTTCTTTCCCCAAAATGAGTCATTCCAAAGTAATGGTATTGTAACAGACATCGGATGATCAAGCTTAAGTTAAATATAGTTACAATTCTGATAACTGCTGTTATAGGTCACAAGGCCCAGTTAAGGCTACTGAGAAATGTTCAAATACCACAATAAAAGAAGTCCAGATCAGCATCCAGGAGTGGAAATCTTGGTTGAAATGCTTCCGTCCTGAAGGTCAGCTGGAAAGCTTTCTGTCTTCTCAAAAGAGATGTAGTTGCAAACTGCTTACAGTTTTCCCACGTTCTATGCACCACTGATCTCGATTAGTTTTACAGCATAAATGCCAAGAAAGTCTCCTGGGATCAACTGACTCCTGAGTGACTTAATTATATCTCCGGGCCATTTTTGATTTTGCATGATCATATTTACTTAGCAATAAGTCCCGCATTCTCCAGGTATGCTATATAATTTAATAACTACTATCTTTTTCCTCTTCTTTTGAAAGCCCTAGTGATTTTTGGGGATCATAAACAAAATTAGAGCAAAAAAAGAGTTTCTCAAGAAGCTTTATGATTTGGCAATGCTGCTGAATCCATCAATATTTAATTATACTTTATAAACATCAACAAAGTCAGGTTTTTAACCACCCCAGTCAGCTGCTGAAATATTCACAAGAAAGCACTAAAAGGATTAAGAAAGAAGTAGGATAAGCTTCATTATCCAAGAACTGTGCTGAGCTTCATCCTTTCTCTCAGCACATGCAAGGGATGCCCATGAATCTCCCGAGCAGGCTGGGAGGATGTGTGCCTCCGGGCTGGAGATTTCTGGGGCTGTAAACAGCACAGAAACAGCTGAGCTGCTGTAATGGAAAAAAACTTCCCATAAAATAACAGAGAGCCATTAAACACCACCCTGAGCTGCATTATAAGTGAGGAGGGATGCAGAGCGTGGTCTTAGAGACATGGGAACCTTAATTATACACCCGAGAGCCACCAGCCTTCTTGTACGGTCTGTGCTGGATATCAGTTGTCAGCAAACAAAGCAGCAGCCAAAGCTGGAAGCTGAAGCCAGTCACACCGCTCCACAGCAGAAAAGGAGAGCTGATAAAGACAAGCTCAGCTGCAACAGAGACGGGGATTTCAACTGGGAACGGTTGGCTGCTTTTGCCTTCACCTTTGGAGTTGGGTAGGAAACTCCTACAAATCCCCGCTGTCCTTGAACTGGGGAGTTACATCGCGTGTCCACAAACTATTGTACGTTTCTACGACTCTAAAAAGAGAAAACATCCTTGTCAGCTGCTGCATAAGCACATTGTTGGTGAACCTCTTAGACTATAAAGAGTATATAAGCTAAAGCTTGTAAAACACAGCTGCCAAGGTGGATACGGTGCTGCTTCTGCCACTAGCAGCTCACTGCGACTTACAGCGACAGCAGCAGCACAGCAGCGGGGCGTACATGTTTTCATCCACTCGGTGAGAACAAGCTAGAAATGTGCAAACAAAATGTAACACTACCTCATAAATACAAGTGAGTACACTACAATGAGAAATCAAAAGTGAGTAATAACACGAACACAAACTGCAGCACTTGGGATCCTTCCTGCGCAGTACGGAGGCTATAAGTTTTTCTCCATAGGGAATGCTCCAGTACAAATCTGTGCATACACTAAAGCTACATCGGTGTCGTTTCCATCTCGTGCCAGGACCTGGATTTCTGCCTGCGCTTGGGCTGGTGCCTCAGATCTCTCTTGCATCTGGTGAGAGGCAGGAAGATTATAACATCTTCTCTGAATATTCACTATAGTCCCTGCGAGCTGCTTCCAAGGGAGTTGATTGGAGAATGTTAATTCTTTGATTCATCCCGAAACTCAGCAAGGTATGAAACATTAGCGTGAGACAGCGAAAGCAGCAATACACCACCTGCGCTTCCCCACGCCTAAGCTTCAAGTCAGCCAAAACCAGTTAATTGCTTCGCCTCTGCTCCTGCAAACAGCAAAGGGGTCCCTTCCAACCCCTACCGCTCTGTGTGACTCTGTGGACGCCTGTGCACCTCCGTGCTGCAGCGAGCTGCGCAATGCCCACTGCCCGCTCTGTGACACAAGGAAACTACGGAACGTGAAACCGTTCATGGAAAACAAGCCTGAAATGAAACAAGCCTGAATGAGAATAAACCTCCAGGTCCCTAACAGGGGTCTGCGCAATACGAACTGGCAAACAGAGATACCGCAGGAACAGGCTCTAGAGGAAATCTCAGAGCGTCTGCGAGCATGTGCTCTACATCCAGCAGCCGCGGTCTAAGTCTAAAGAAACAGAAAACTCGTACGTACCTTGGTCAGCTCTTGGGCGTTCGCCAGGTTGTCAACAGCGATAGCCAAGAAGACATTCAGGAGCGTATCTTTTGGGGAGCAGCTAAGGAAAAAAAAACTTCACACAGCAAATACAGTGAACGGTTCCCCTTCTGCTGCCAGTACCCTGCTTTCCTCACTGGCAGCCATCGGTGTATCACGGACTGGCCCCTTGCACCACTGCTTTGCCTTCATTTCTAACTCACCTACTCCTGCTGGGACCCAGCTCTGCAGCCCAGCAGGTGCTGGGTGCCCATTTGCCTCTTCCCCAGCACATGTCCTTGGTGGGGACACAGACATGTGCACAGCTTTACAGCACTACAGGTGCCACCAATGCAGGACCACACAGTGGTCCTAGAGACACAACAGCCCCTGGTTTTTCATTCCAGCAAATCCACACCTACACCCCTGCCCATACACACACACAGGACTTCACCTTCTTTTTTCCCTCTTGTTTAAAAGGACAACCAGTAGAGCTCCTGGAAATCGGTCATTTTAAAGCCAACATTTACATAATATAAACATATAGCTATATAAAGGGTACCATGAATAAATTAAGCTTATGTCACTGCTGCATTACATACTAGTGGGAGGAAACTATCATGACTTATCACATTGAAGTTGATATGACAATTAGACCACCATGGACACTGTCTATCCTGAATGCCACAGCATCATGCAGAGCACAGCTACAGAACCGCCTGTTAGCAGGACACCCAGCCTGAGATAATGAGCTCTGCCGGGAAACGGGCAGTTAGTCCAGGCCAAATTGCAGATAGTCCAGCTAAGCAACCACCAGTGCCCACGCCAGCCTGGGTCTCTCTGCAGAGCACTGCATTATATCACTAAGACATAACATTTCCCTATAATTATTTATTCGTATTTTATTTTCATTTTCCAGTTAATGATTTCAGCTATTACTTGTCCCTTCGTATATTTTGTTGTTGTTATTCCAGCTATCTGCAAAACAGCCCCAAAACAATTGTAAATCAGACACCTTTGCATATGAAAGGAGAGCAAGCAAAGCAAAACCAAGTCTAAACCACTCTCCAAGCAGAAAATTCATTTTGCTCTTGCACGTTACCTGGTGACAGAAGAGTCGCTCACTCCATAGCTGTGTAAAGCTATGATTGCTCCTCTAAATACGAATGTACATGAGAATGATGTTGATCTCGTGAATCTTTACCCTCTGGAGACTCGCAGCAATGCGCTGCTCCCATGTTTGTATCGCACTGTCCTCACTAAAGCCAAATCTGAGTCTGGGACCAGACACAAGTCCCCATAAGCCGAGTGAAAGGATTGCAGGAGTTGGAGGCAGCTAATTAACCCAACAGAAAATAACTAGATGCATCCCCTGTTTTGGTCTGTGAGTTGAAGGTAATGCCCGAAGCAATGCTGCAGCGAAGATAGCACTGAGGGACGCGGGCAGAGTGCTGGATGCCATCACTCCAGCAAGGGGAGGAGAAGCACGGCGCGAGCTCCCAGGGCGCTGGCAAACCTGCAACGAGATTTTGGGGAACCTTGGCCTCGGTGCCCTGCTGATTGCTTTAGATTTCTCAGAATAATGCCTGGAGGAGGCATCTGAGGTTTGTCTTCAAACAGAGCGGCCAGGAGCAGCACAAGGCTGATTCATCGGCTGCAGTTGTCTCTGCAAACAGGAGCGTGCCCAGAAATCCTCGTGCTCCACCAGCCTCCGGTCAGCAGGCTGGCAGTGGGTGCTGCTGGCTGCAGAGCCACCACCCCACATTGGCACGGCTTCAGGAGACTTCCCAGGGCTGCCAGGGATGAAAGTTTGCCCAAACAGCCAGCTCATGGCCTCTTTGCTTTCCCTCTCAAGAGCTTTCACCAAACATAACTCAGCCAAGACTTCAGAACTAGATGTTCACATCTCTAATTCCCACTGCAACGAGTGTCTCCAGAGCCTGAATGCCTATCAAAACTGGAGCCTCTGCTTGTGACAGTGGAAAGCAGGAGTTGTATTTAATCTCTTAGCATGCACCTGCATCCAGAGTACCAGACCCTGCAGGGGATGGGACGCAGAACCCTGGGGTTTCTCCAGGCGAAGGCCAGGTCATCCATCAGGTTTTCTCTCCATGTCATGTAACACGGGATGGAAGTTTTTATCACATGAAGATGATTCCTCTGGGATAGGCAGAGGTTTGAAATGTGATGCTCATCAATTGCTCCTTTCTCCATTCCAGCAGTGCAGCAAGGAGCGCAGGGCAGGAGCACCTCAACCCCACTGAGCCCAGCAGATAAAGAACAAGAAAACGTGAAAGATGATGATGCTGAAATGATCACCTCCCTCCCACACTGAAGCCAGAGCTCTGTCAACTTTTCATCTACAAAGGTACTAATTTCTCTATTTGCTTTTAACTGAGGGTTGGCAGAGAGGGGTGTCATTCACGAACTGGGGGTGGAGGCAGGGGGGCTGGGGCACCATTGCCCACCAGGGTACTGGCTGGTGCCAGCTTTTTGGGTTACTTCATCTGGGGTGCTTCCAACACATTGGAAACACTTCCAAGCCTCCTTCTCTGGGAATAAATGTCTTGGTAATAAAATCGTCTTCCTACCCCTGCCTCCTACACACACATGCTGAAAAGGTCTCGTAACATAATCAACCACTGGAAATATATATGCATTTTCTTTAATTTTTTAAGAGATCAGGCTGTTTTGATCCATCTCCAAGTAGACACAATCTGGCAGACTTGGGTGTTTCTGCCCCAAAAAAGGTCCCTCAGCCCTTTCTGCAGAGCTTGGGGATTTCCAAACAGAACCATAGAAACACGACCCAAACTCCAGCCTCGGGTCCAGGCTGTATAACCTGGGCAGAGCCACAGATCCCACTGGCCAGCTGAGCCGGCGGCTGGTGCTGCCAGAGGCTCTCCCACACCGCAGCGAAGGACAAGGGGAAGGGCAGCGTGCTCCAGGCATTGCTGCTTTTCGTTTCAGGCTGTTCTGCAGTTCTTTCATGGGTTTTTTTCCTCTTTTTTTTCCTCAGCAGACGCATCAATTTATCAATTAACCGGATAACAATGAACGCAGGCATGGTGTAATTTCCTAGAAAATGGGCCAAATCCTGCTGTTACTCTAATCATACTACTTGCATTAAACCACTTCAGACCCAGAGGTCTGGCTCCATACAGACTCTCTGGAACTGGGAGTGTAATGGGAGAGAATTCCAACTTACAAAAACAAAGTTTCTGGGTCTCTTCCTTGCAACAGTCCCTTGAAAATGTAACTGGATTCAAAGAAACAACTAATTTGTATGAAGAATCAGGGAAGCTGGCGCCCAACCACCATTCTTCTTCATGAAAGTGAAAAATTACAGTGCCCCAGGCTGCTTTGGAAGAGGAAAGGAGACCCTCATGTTTAAAAAGAACAGGTTTTGCAAACTCACCCAAAATCACCAATGCTGGTTCTCTAACAAGACTTGATCTAGTCCGCCTAAATTCTTGCAAATGGACTCGCCAAATGACAATGCTCAAAAACTGAAAATAAAACCAGTCCCAAGAGGAACTGATGTGCCCTTCGCGAGGGGGCTGGGACAGATGTCCATAGCAGTGATAAAAGAAAATAAAAGCAAAAAAGTCCAATTAAAGAAGTTCAGCCACAGTGAACACCTGCGTGGAGAGGGCTGGTGGCAAAACCACACCTGACACACAAAAAAATCCAGTGCATACAAAAAAGCATTTTATAAAGATTTGGGGAGTTCTGCAAGGCAGAGGGGGGAGATCTTTGTGAAAGGGAGTGTGACTGTAATGCTCAAGTCCCCAGTTAGAGCTGAAAAGATGGTTCATATCTTAATCTAATCTATAATTAAGCTAATCAACAACTTGGTCTGCTCTCTGTACGGTGTCCTGCTGGCGTTTGCTGGGCTGTGGGGCTCTCCTCGGGCAGGTGAACTCGCGGCTCAGACACGAAGCTCGCCCTGCACGCTCCCCTGTCCTTAACGTCGCCGGGGCACTGCAACATCAGCGACACTAATGACCGTTTGACTTCCCGCAAAAATGCAGTCCTGCTCTTTTCTGGAGAACTAAACTTTATTTTCAGGCGTTCCTGGTTATGTTTTGACGGTTAACGATAATTTAAGTCGCTGGTAAGTCATACAGTTCAGCTCTCCCCCAGAGATAAATCACTGCCTGCTGCTTGCTCCCAGCATCAAAACCACAGCTAGTGGAAAGCAGGGGTAGCACTGACCTTCCTGAAACACCGTTCGAAATATCAGCACAAGCATTAGCGTGCTTACCACTGCAATTCCCACAGTAAACAGTCAAAGAAAAGATTTAATCCCCCACCCTGCACTGGACACTCTAGCCTCAATTCTCTCCTCCTGCCCGCGGTGCTCAAAGCAAACAGGTCCATGGGTGATGCAGAAGGGCTCTTCCAAGCCCTCTGAGAAAGCAGCTGATGCTCTCGGACTAAGTTCCCACAGAGATAATCTGGGCTGGGTCTCCAATAATCCAACAGGGATATAAATCTCCATAGAAATGAATACATTTCCTTCAGGTTTATAACTCTTGTCACTAGAAGCTGGTGAAAGAAGTTTTCTAGGACACTGTAAGAGGGTTTCTGAGTGTTGTTACTGTTTTTCAGTCAGCCCTAGCCTGCCTCTGTGCTCACAGAAACCCACCTGCAGCAAACTCACCCCCGTCTGCAGGGTTCAGGGAGAATTCAAGAATCACATCTGACATTTCCTCCTTGCTAAACATCCAGGCAGTGGCCCAAAGAGTGCTCTGGCTACGCTAAAGCTGCATCACCGGCACGCGACTGTGGGCAAAGTGGACAAGAGGGGCACTGGAGATGGTCCCGGGGAAGCAGGCAGAAAAGCCCGGCTGACCCCGGCAGCAGGACAGCTGAAGGGAAAGCACGACAGCTGCTCTCTGCCAGGATGACATCTGGGGACAATGTGGGCAAGGCTTCGACTCACCGCTCTGCCAGGGCAAGCGGAGGCAAAGACCAGATTCATGGCAGTGGCAGTAGGTGAACCTGGTCCTTATTCATCCTGTTCCTCAAAACTGATGGATCTTCGCTGCTCTAAGGTTAAAAGTCTCTCTCTCAGCCCTGTTGTCAACCTTGATTATAGCTCAATCCCATTTTCAAATGCCAAACCCTGAGGATTTAGAGACCTCCCTCCCTCCCAGCTCTCCACTGACCCAGTTTTCCAGAGCCTCGTGGATCTGGAAGGGGGAATGTTGCCTGCCATGAGGTGGGGTCTGAGCAGAGCTGCTGAGCCAGCCCCGGTGTCACGGCTGCTCTGGCTCTGACCGCGCACGTTAATGGGATAAATCCCTCAGAGGCACACTCGTGTGACAAGCACAGCTCGCAATCTGCCTGCTCCGCTGTTCCTTGTCTTGGTTCCTCATGCTAACGGGGAGATTTCAGGCAGAGCAAATGGACCAAGCCCTGCCGTGCAGTCCATGGGCACTAATGTCCCTTCCTTTCTCATCTCGACCCCCAGCTGAAGGAGGTCTATGTCCACAACAGTTCTACATCTTTCGCACAAGTACTGCCCCCCACATACCCTTCCCTTCCTCCTAGGTACCCAGTCGATGCCGCCAGACCAAACAGGACTCCTAGCAAAAGACGAATGCTGGGACTGTAACTAGCAAGAAGGTTTGCACTGCTGGGACACCCTCCATAGACCTCTCAAGCAGAACGGCAATGCTCAGCGTTATTATCCCTATTTTACAGCAAAAACAAACCAGCAGGGCTGCCTCATATGCGCAGCAATTTTTAAGTTTCCATTTTTAAGGATGCTACTGGACACCGCAGATGTTGTCGCTGCAGTCAACAACTTTGTACCTAGTTAACATGAGCAATGCTCGGCAACATCAGCCCATCAGCAGCCTCCATCATGAAGCGGGGACAGAGCCATCACAACTCCTATGCTCTGCTGGCTCTCCCAACTGCACAGACATTAGACCTGAGAATTTCTTTGCTGATTTCTGAATAAAATACAGCCTCCCTCTCCAAATCCTGGCTTTGTGTGACTGCTAAGTTCTTGTCGTCTCGGACCTCTCTGGGGACATAGCACACGTCAGAGTGCTGATGTGTCCCCAGAGACACCCTGGGACCTTTGCGGGGGGACACAAGCTTCCAGTTTCCTGTTGTCGTCAAGAGATTTTCATGACAAAGCAGAACAAAACATCTTCAGAGACTTCACGCATCAGGTCTTGGAACATGATCGAATACCCCCAGAGCTTCAAACCCAAAACCTGGACCTAAGTTTTAAGCATTGTGTGGAGACAATTCCAAGCATTTGGAATAGCACAGCCGGTTAGGCTCTCATGTAGACAAAGGCACCAAGAGACTGGACCCTGATCTACACACTAAACCAATTTTAACCCTTTCTTTTCTTCCCCTGACCTAGTGCAAACTATCTGTGAAGATATTCAAGGTAGAGAGGTCCTGCTGTGACTTGACTTCAGTCTTTTTTCTCACAACATAAATTTACTCATAATAGGACATCTTTAAAGTAAAACACAAAAATTAAAATGAATGAAGACCATGCCCACGCTGCCATCAGAAAAGTGACATCAACATGGACAAACTGCCCACACTTCTCACCCTGGGTGCTATAAGGAGCAAAGTTATAGCAGTGATATGGTCTTAAAAAGCATAAGTGAGACTGTGAGAATTTAAACAAAATTAGATATTTACGGCACCCCGGGAAGGGTGCATGGCACACTGTGTCTCTGACACAGGGCAAGGTGCAAGGATACAGTTACCGAACAATGTCAGGACAATGAAGTAAATGGAGGAGAACATCCCCGAGCGGACGCCGCCCTGCGACTCTATCCCGTGGTACATCACTGCGTTCCAGTCTTCCCCCGTCAGGATCTGCACAGCATAATTCGAGAGAGAAGAAGGAAGGGTGACTCCAAGGAAAGACAAAATAGGGAGAGTCGGGGAGGAGATAGCCAGCTTGGTGCAATCCAGAACTGGTCTCTGGGGGGAGGAAAAATGCATGAGCACATTAGTGTGGCAGACTGCAGTGTTGGACATCAACCCCCCAGCCCTGGATGGTCTCACCCTGGGCTGGATGCAGCTTTTTTCCTCTGGCATGGGCTGAGGAGGGGTGAGCACAGCTGGCAGGTTCCCCTGAAGCCAGAAAAAGTTGTGTTCCAACACTTCACCCGCAGCAAAACTCCTCCCTCCTCTCCATTTTTAAGTCATGCAGAGATACCAGCTTTCAACAGCTCCACACACATCATTCCCCACAGACCTAAGAAAACTCTGACTTCTAAGCCCACCGTCCTGAGCAGGATCTCTGCCAGCATCAACTCCTTTGATTCACTTCATACAGCAAGGGTTTGCTCAGCTCCCCCCCAACCCACACACACTACACGCTCTGAGTGACGATGTAACTGGAGAAACTCTTGCAACTCCCTTCCACTATCCCTCTACCCCTCTGGGCTGCAGACAGCTTTGCATGTGGACGTTACTCCAAATGCCAGGCACCGGGCAGCACAACCACGGCAAGGTTTGCCAGGTGGCTGCACCACAACGGGTTCTCCGGGTTTCCCACTTACCCAAGCTACAAAGACCCTCCACCACCCCGATAGTCACAAACCACAAAAAAACCCCTAAGCAGAGGCAATAACCAAATTCGTATGATTGAGGACAGATGAGGGTAGCTTGAAGGGGACTCTGCTCCTCTGGCGTCACTGCACAGAGGCGAGCGCAGCCGCAGCCTGGCTCTGCAGAGCTGTCCTGGCTGAGGGCTCTGGATGCTGACCCGGGGCTAATTAGCAAACACATGAATAATAGAAAAGTTAATCATAATAAGTGAAAAACATCTAAGACTCAAATAAGCCTTGTCATGCTAGATGTTAATTTTGCACCACTGAATTTCTTGCCATGCCTGCTCTTCACCAGTGACTGTAACACAGCCACAATTTGGGCAGATCAGCGCTTCATCTGCCTGCCATGGCAGAGCCGAAGGACAGTCACTCTGAGTACACTAAAACATGCCCACTGGGATGCGGAGCTCAAATTCCTAAATAAGAAACTGTCTTTGTGTTTAGTAGAAGAAAAAAACAAAACCAACATGATGCATGTTGTAGTAACCAAGTCCCATGTGCATACAGCGTGCTCAAAGTGACTGCAAATTCCAGACTAGTCGCCAGACGCTGACAGAGAATTTCTTCCTGCAGGGTCGGTGCTGATGACAGCAATAGGCTAAGAGCAAGTATAGACACAAGGACATACAGTGCAGAACACAAACTTGGATCCTAAACGCAGAATCTGGTCTCAGATAACTCAGAGAACAGAATTCAGAGCCCAAGCCTAACCCACCCCACTGGAGTTACTCTGGATTTACACCAGAAACTTTGAACCAGGGTATTGGGCTTTCAACTCTGGCACTCCATCACACAAAACACTATTCACAAACTTGCCTTCACATCATTTCCATGAATTCAAACTGTTCCTGCTTTCTGGGAATAACCATAAAGTGATTTCTGTTCACGCAAATGTTCGTGGAAAGGGAAACCAGTGGGAACACTTCTCTGCCCTGCAGAAGACCAGGGTTCACAGGTATCACAAGTTACAGGCTGCACATAACAGTCCAGCAGGCTGGGGTCTAGGTTAAAAAAATCCAACCAGATTATTTTGGAAGTCAAACAAAAACTTTAAGAAAAAAACCGAAACAGTTTATGTAACTTTTGCAGAGAGATGGATACTCAGAACTCACCGGCGTGCCTGGGCAGAGCTGAGGATGTTCTCTGAGGCTCTGGCAAGAGGACGGACACTCTGAGCTGGTGTCCTTCCCACTGCTGGTGCTGTCACTCATCAGCTGGAGGAATTACTTAAGCAATTAGGTAGCAGCCCTCGAGGAGCAGAGCACATGCAGTAAATAAGAGTCTTTCTGCTCTATAAAGTCTCCATTTATGGATGCTATAAGAACTTCTTGCTACAGGAGAGGAAAGGACAGCATTGCGGCTGCAGAGGGGCACAAGCAATGAGGACTTTGGAGTAAGGTGAAGCCCAAACTTTTTGTTTTTCCCTGGGCACTGAGCTGCTTTTGGCTGCCCCAAATGAATACTTTTTTCAGTGCAGCTCAGCATTTAATGCTTCGGCTTGGCTGAGGAGCCATCAGGTGATGGAATAAAAAAAGCTTTCAAGACGTATTGTGAAATCTTAATGGATTTCTGAACACCTTAGCAGTGGGAGACGCTCAGCTGCAGAGGATCAGTACCCCTCCATTTCAAAGGGCTATCCTGAAAGTGAGGTGCTTTCCTGAAGAACCACTGGAGCAAATGCAAAATCATGTCAGCTTAGTGTCCTATCTCGCAGGCAGGTCAGCAAGGGCAGCCAGGGCACTCAGACACCAAACCAAAGCCAGCTCTGCTTCCCAAGCCTCAGCAGGTGCCCATCAGCAGAGCTGAGGCTTCGTCCCATCCTGCCACCAGGACTCCTCATCTCCTCCACCGGTGATTGGCTTCTCAGCAGCCACCAGCGCACAGTTCTTTGCGTAGCAGCTCTCTGGGAGCAGAGCATGTGTAGTTAACACAGGTCTTTCTGCTTTATAGAGTCTCTGCATGTTGTACATGCTTCCAGCTCAGCGACTGCTGGAACGGGGAGATGCAGCTATTTCTTTTTCATGTGTATATAGATAGATGTGAATATATATAGTTTGTATTTGTATTTTGTGTATACAAACAAATTTTGTGTATACACAGCTCGGCATTCGGCTCACAAAGACTTTCTTGGGAGCCAGGAGTCAGAGAAAAACGCGTGATGCTCTTTGAAGTGAATTTAGGGAGAGCAGGGCTCGGTTGCACCCAGTGCTGAGTTCAGCCAGCTGCCAGGCAGACAAAATATGTCCTGGGAGCCGCGTGAGAGAGGACCGTGACCCAGCCAGGACTGCTGAAATAAATGGGGCTAAGGCAGGCTGCAGAAGACTTCATTTAAGACTGCTTGTTAAACAAAGAATCTCCAGAGAGGTTAGGGATGAACAGGCCGTATCCGACTATTATATTTGTTCAACACATTGAATGTGTTCACTGAATGACACCACCCTGCCCATTCGAGCAGCAGCCAGACGAGCCTGCTGGTTTGCCTCAGTTTATGGGAGACAAAGGTTAGAAGAGACTCCAAAGCCCATATCGAAGAACTGTTGACGTGGTATTTGCAATGCAAGGAAGGATGGGGGGATGGATTGGGAGCAGAGGTTCCCGAAATGCCTCTGTGAGGCTGTTCTGAGATAATTTGGTGTTGATGGGCTTTGCGGGTTTTAATTCGTAGCTCTGCCATTCTAGACAAACATCATAAAACCCACAGTGTTTTCCTTCATCCCGCAGCCACTATGTTACAGGGGTATTTATTATCTCAGAAATAGAAAGGAAATATTTCAGCTAAGTATTCTCAAAAGACAGCTATAGTCCCAAAGCAAAATAATATCAAAATTTCCAGATGCTCATATCCGGAGCCTGACTCCGGTTCAGTTCCGGCTTTGTGGCAATACCTTTACGGTTCTGTAAGCCCTTTCTTTGATGAGTACTAAAATACTACGCAAATACTAATCTACCACGATTTGCAATATCCTGCGAGGTAAGCAGTACTGAACCTGCTTCACATCTGGAGAGAAGCAATACTCACACAAAGCTGCTTAGGCAGAGGTCACAGGACACATTTTCTTTTAGGCTCTTTTTCTGTTTTAATCCAAAAAATGTCATCAACCTTCTTTCCCCACCCCTGCCCCCATTTTGGGATATGATACTGAAATACAGAAGTCAAGCCTTGCCGAGATCTAGCAAAGTTCGGAGCTGGGGTCAGCTCTCAGCTCGAGCCCACATCAACAACTTGTGTAGGATGACGCTACAAATGCAGGGTGGTCTTCCACGGACCCGAGAGCATTACCTGCACATGGAGCAGGGTGCAGCATCCCCAGCTCTCTACCGAAACACCTGAAATAACTGTTTTACAAAAGACATGGAGACAACAGCTGCAAAACTAGGCTCTTCAATCTGAGCGTTGCATCTGCCAGATTCTTCCCCCACCAAACGAACTTGCTCAAGGCTGATGCCTCTTTCTGTGCTCCCCCATTGACTGTGATTCTTATCCAGTGTTATCTTATCTTGAGCTATTACCGTGCAAAATGCTACGTTATTTCCTTACTGCCTGGAGCTAGCTCAGGCCTCTCTCCTCATTAAATTATGGCATCCACAGAGCAAAGTGAAACAGGTCAACCATGCTCTCGCTGTCCAGGATTTCGAACCGGACAATTTACGCAGCAGGGCACATGCAAGTGCTGCCATTGCAACGCTAGGCAGGGGCCGCAAAAGATGACAGCCTGGGCACCCACAGCCTTTAAGCTCAGCACAGAAATGGCTATTTTATTAATATTTTTCTCCCTAGAAAAAAAAAATCTTTTGTCCTCGTTTTCCTTAATTTCACAGCATGGATTTTTAATGGTGCATTAATTGGTCAGTGTGACAAAATAAATGAGAAGGAAGAACTTCCTCTTTCCTAAATTCCATGGAATTTTGGAGACCTCATTAGTCCCCATAAGCAGGAAGATATGCCAGGAATTTATTTGCCAATGCTCACTCAGGACAAGGGATGGCTTTACCTGGAATACTGTGAGGATGGCAGCAGGAAAGGTATCGAAATTCGTGGTTGGTGTTTCATCTTGGAAATTGAATCTAGAGAGGAGCAAGACATAAAAACAAGAGCAGTAAGGGGGACAAGAAACTCTCCTGCCGTCTCATAATACCCTGTAACCCAAGTCAGAGAGAACATTTGTTCCACCTGGCAATAACACCCCAGGCAACCACAGTGGGGAACACGGCATCTCTGAGAAGATGTTTAACAGAACTATTAGCAGAAACTCAATTTTATTCATGGAGAAAATTCTGATACTTTGAAATTCATTTTCATCCTTAATTAAAAAAAAACAATCAAAATCTCAAACACTTTTTGTGGAACAAAACATTTCAAGAAATTGTTGTTCTCAAGTGTAAAACTCAAAATTGAAATCGCCCTCTTAGTAGGTTATTTAATTTTAATTTAGAAAAAAAATAGTGGTTGATTATAAAAAAAGTTATTTCATTTCAAAAATTATACTAAAGTTTGAATGGTGACACTGTGATAGTTCTTTTCATCACAAGCTGTTTTCCAGCGGAAAAATATTCAAAGTAAAAAAGAAGCAAAGCAAATCAAACAACTGTTGCTCTGGCTGTGAGGGAAAGAATTTGCCTTTCCCCTCACAGCAGCAGAAGCGCTGCCTCCCTCAGCCCTCTTTCCAAGGTCTGAGTGTACATGGGGACTATGGAATGACAGAGGAGCTGTGAATTATAGTAACCAGAAAGAATTCAGCTCCAGGAAAAACATCAGAACAGGAACTGTTCTCCTACAAACCAGAGAGCACAACTCAGAAGCCCAGAAAGACTGACATCTGCACCAACGACGTGAATATCTTAAGGCCTGCAGCCCCTCTCCCCCTTGGGTATTGCTTTCAGATTACCCCCAAAAGGACAATGGTTAATTAGACTTACTGTCCTCCAAAGAGCTGCATCCCCAGCAAAGCAAATACCACAATGAACAGGAACAGCAGGAAGAGCAAACTGATGATGGACTTCATGGAGTTCAGCAAGGAGACCACCAGATTCCTCAGGGAATTCCAGTACCTGCATTGGAGATTGGAACAGCCAAGAGAGAACATTAGCAAAGAGCTTTTGGTGAGAAACTAATACGACCTATTTTCTTAAATAAAAAAAAAAAAAAAAGAATGGAATGTCAGGGAATATCAGCATCTTTAAACTCCCCTCTATGATAAGAAAATACAGCTCACTGAGGGGCAAAATCTCCTGTAGCATCTCAAGGGCAGAGATGGTCACCTCAACACATGTGTACCCATGCAGAGCAGTCATCTGCAGTGAAAGTGTTCGGTTTAATTTGTCCTGTAATCCCTTTCCTGGTATACATTTCGACCTTTCTGTATCTTCTAATGCAGCATGGCAGTCAGCAGAAGTGTCAAAACCAGGGACGTATCAATATCACCAAGCTGAGACCGAACATGGGGGTGGTGAATCCCTCCCTTCAGAACACGATTCAGGAATAAACGGCTCGTTTCCACCAGGATGTCTTTGCAGCGTGTGCTTCCAACTTCGAGTGCCCTGAGCTCAGTATTCATGTGTGAGTGGACTCACACTCCCGCATGTTTAAACATTTCTGTAGACATTAAACACGCATATTCATGCACAGCAACGCCTTCAGGGTGGGGCAATTCAGCCACACCATTTAAGCATCCAGGACCGAGCAACCGCCTTGGAGAAGGAAAACAAATTTGGGACATTAACTACAACATGGGAAGAGGGAATGGCTCAGCCCAAATCCTGACTGACACATCCAAGTCGCATCTGGCCAGACCCTGCAGTTCGTTTGCTTTCATCTTCACCGTCCCCCGAGACAGCTCCGGGCACGCTCGCAGACAGGCACGTCGAGTGACGGCGGGCCGGGGAGGGGGCTCAGAAACAGCTCTGTTTCCTGGCTTTATTGCCCTGCTGAGAACACGCAGGAAGCATTTATATTAGGGAAACTAATGAATCAGAAAATGCAGAAAGAGCTATTAAGCAGAGGGGCTCTTTGACAAGCTCCTTTTGGACAGACAGGCATGCAGAACAACTGGAGCAGCAGTGGGAAATGAGTGATTTACAGCGATTTCACCTGTCCTCTGTTAAAAGTTTTGAGTCTGAAACCATGGGGGGAAATTTTTTTCTTTTCCTCCAGTGCTGTCCCTTGTTTCCACCAGCTGGTGCTGGAAGCTGCCATCCAGGGGTCACTGGTCACAGCAGCATGCTCTGCCATCCCGTCCCGTGTGTCCTCCAGCTGTGGCTTGGGGACAGACCCACACCCTGAGCCGCATCCAGCAGCTCAGCTGTGGGCATCCAGCAGCAGGAAGCCCATGGATTCCTCTCATCTCCTGATGGGGAGAGATGCTCAGAGCTTGAGTCAGAAGAGCAGAAATGCCATCCTTCTCTTTGCCTTCATTTTCCTCCTTGTCCTTCCCCCAGATGTAGCTGGGAGAACCAAACCACCCCACGTTTCTCTGTGCCAAGGATGATACAGGCACATCCATCCCCGGAAAAGCAGGATCTTGCACTCCCACTGCACCAGTTCCAGGAAAAGTTATGTCCATAACACAGTGACAAAGGTTGTAGGGGAAACTTTGGTTGTTTGGGAGAATATCTTCAACTGAAAAAGTAGCAATCAAACCTACTCCTGGTCAGCTCCTAAGCCAAAGGGGCTGGGCTGCTCTCCTTGGGGAGGGAGGAAGGGTTTGCCTATCACACGGCTCTGCCATACTTGACACGATGGCTTCAGGCAGAATCTGCCACAAGCAAGGGGTTCACACCTCGCAGTTAATACAACTGGACACAAAATGCATGTGGAGGCTCTGGCCTGTCCTGGAATAGCTCAGCACCAAATCCTGCCTGACTAGAGAGTGCCAGGATATAACGAGGAATTGCATTTCTACAGATGCCAGCCCCCATTCAGTTCTGTCATAATGAAAAGGAAAACATGTGAAGCTGTTTTGTCCTTGTCCTCCTCCCTGAATTTTAGCCCCTCTTAGGCTGCATCCCCTTGTAGTGCATCCTGCTGTCACCTGTCAGCCCAGCTGTAAATTAACTTTTTAATTTTCACATTGCTGCAGTCTCACTGATTGTCTGCAGTCTCACTGATTGAGGCCATATGAATCAAAAGGTCTCATACCACCAAATATTCAAAGCTGCAGGTGGACTGCAACTGGCTTCTGTTAAACACAGAGGCAAAAAAAAAACCCCAGATCAGGAAGCTTCAGAGAAAAATTGCTATGAAAGAGCCAGAAAAAGGGAAAAAAAAAGAAAACTACTGAGGGTCAGGGTGCTTTCACAGTAAAGACTGTAACAGGAGTGGGTGGGCAGCAATCTGCCTTGTGCCATCACTTTGGTACCTCTCCCTGAGTCACGCTAGGACTGCGCTGTGTGGCTCAGGCACTGAGATATCGTGGCCCAGCACAGCTGAGACCCCCCTGCCGGGTGAGCTGAAGGGGACCTGGCTTCTGCTAACACAATGTCAAATCAGGTGAAAAATTCACATAGTTAGGTCAAAAGAACTTCAGCGTCAGTGAGGTGAGAATTTCACTCACTGTCTGAGAAGGAGGACAGCACTTGTCTTACTCCATGACTTTCTTTGTTAAGTTAAATCTTGGGCTTCATCTCTTTATTAGTTGGCTAAAACTCTGAATAGTCAGAAGTCACAAAAAGATCCTTTGAACTTGCAAAAAAGTCCAGAGTTTTAAAAAGTACATCTTGCAATCAGATACACTAAATCTCAGTAGTTCTGGATAAAATTAACTGCTGAAAATGAATCGCTATGAATTTGCTACAAAATCTGGAGTTTTCCACACACAGGATCAGTGCGAATGTAGACTAAGAGATCTTTCGTGGGCAGGTGCCCACCTCTTTCGCTGGACATGGACAGAACTTCATGCTTCGGACCCCTTTGTCCCACAGTACAGCAAACGACACAGTTTCACACCCAAATCTCTGGATCTGCATGATGATCAGCAGACACAACTCACCAAACCCTGCAGAGCTCACCAAGCCCACGTGTTCGAATAGCTGCGGAAGCACCAGGTTACTTCCAGCGGCTGGTTTGTTCAAGTGGGAGAACCCATGCTTTACCTGTCTGAGGGGCTGGGTTTTATTGGAGGAAGGTGCTATTCCTCCTTTTGTTACCTCAAGCTAAGAACAAGAGAGAGATGGGAAGAGGGGAGATCTGAGGAGGTAATGGTGTGAAATGGCGAGAAAAAAAAAAATAAGGTGGAAAACAACAGCAGGAGCACCCAAATACGTCATCGAGTTCCACACTACAACTTTGAAATCCTGCAGAAATTGCTCTAGATGGATTTATAAATTGCACAGTAGCTGCTCGCTAATGCCAGCACACAGTAACGCGACGCATAAGCATGAAAATGACTGAGAAGCTGTGGCAGCCCAACTCCAGTGAAAATTCATTTTCACTGGCTCAAGACTGGAAACCTCAGCCACTGCCAGACCAGACACAACACCGGCAGCAGCACCACACTTCACTTTGTGCCAGCACTGTGGTTCAGGCACCGGGATTTGGTATCCAGCAATAACCAGGCTCATCAAAGTAGCAACAGATAAGGACAGCGGGCAGTTGATGTGGCTTAGAAAGTAAATAAACCACTTTCTCTTACCACAAGACATAAGGGAACACCTCACAAGATTTTTGTTTTAAGCAAGCTTAAAAACAAAGAACAGAAGTCATGCAGCCCGTCACTACACTGTGGAGCTCTCTGCCCAAGGGTAGACAAAGCTGTCCTTGAGCCTGGGGGAAAGGGCTCTCAAAAGTCCTTGGGGATGCAAATTCTGGCTCAGTAACTCCCTAAACTTCTGACTGCCAGAAACCCAGATTTCCCCACCAAGGGAAGGGCAATTCTGCTTCTGCAATTTTCTGCCACTCCCCCACCCACCAGAGGCAGCGCAGGCATAGGATGCTAGGACAGACAAGACATTTGCGCCAGCTAGTACAGGGGTTTGGGAGGGGGTCATTCTGGTTTTTTGTTTGTTGTATTTTGGTTTGGGGTTTTTGGTTTTTTTTTGTTGTTTGCATTTAGGTTGTTTGTTTTGTTTTGTTTGTTTGTTTTTTTTACAAGTATGGAAAGCACTACTACTTGCCGTGGCACTGGCGATAAAACTTTCATACAGTCCTAAAAGCCTAATGTGAGTGGAAAATGAGCTGCACTTACTTTGTTACTTTGAAAATCCTCAGCAGTCGAAGCGCTCTCAATACGCTGATGCCAAATGAGGTACCCGGTTTCACTGCAGCCCAAATAACTTCAAATATACTTCCCACGATGACCTGCAAGAAGAATTCATTTTACATAAGCCCAAACTTCTGCTTAGTTCTTTGTGGTTCTGCTAGAGAAAATGAGGAGAGAACAAGAATCAGAGCTTGGGCTGCAATGGTTTTTTTACTGAGGCTTCAGCAAAATCATGAATTAGCCAACAGCACTGCAACTTTTCGCAGTCCAGCCTAAAAAAGGGCAATTCCTAGAAGGAGGACAGACGCACAGGGAGTCACAGATAGGAACTTCTTGCTTTCTTCTCTAGCAAGTGAACTACCTAAAAATAACCTGTTTTTGAAGGACACCATGATTCTTTGTTATTCACCTCTACACTGGCTCAACTACAAAAGCCAACACTTTACTTTCCCACTCCCTGCACCTGGTCGGTCCAGCCTGGAGCGATGCAGGGGGACACTGCCTCATCCTCTCCTGCCTATCAGAAGCAGCAAAAGTCTTCACCCACAACTGAAGAACAGCTAAATATTAACTCTGGGCAAAAGCTACCAGAAACTTCTGCCAGCTGAGAGTCTTTAGGAAACCAATTAAGATAATAGCTATTAACAGATCTTGCAAAGCCTCTAGCATGCACCTCCAATAGTCTGCCAGCCCCTCAGCTTAAGTTATTGAAAAAATTGTCCTCAATCAAGGTGGTTTTTTAAGTTTTGTTTTGTCTGTTTGTTCGTGTTAAGGCTGGCAGGAGAATTAATGTCAAGTGATAATGAAATCTTCTATTCAAACCTTTATTACAGAAAGGACAAAATAGTAACGGGTTAAGCACAACTGGAAAGGGGAATTACGCCAACACAGGTTACTGTGTGGTTAATAAGAGAAGACAGGCATTTTGCTGCCAATTGCTGTTATTACTCGCTTTAACCTAGCATTTCAGAGCTCCCGTGGACTGTGGCCCCCAGTTGCGTGAAACACATCATAAACACATTATCACTGGACCCCAGTGAGCAGCTGGTTTGTGTTGTGAGAAGGAGTGCTAATGGGAAGGCAGGGCAAGCAGGGCTGTGTCCAAGTACCTGAGCAGTGCTGGAAACCCTTTTCACAAACAGAAACCTGGGTGTCTTTTGAAAATCACAGCATTGCTTGAAGCTGCTCTGAAAGAAATGCTGCACCCTGAGCTTCAAAAAAATGTAGTGGGAAAGGGAAACACACAACAGTTTCTCATCCAGTTGCTCCCACGACAAAAAGAAGGAAATAAAATTTCTCTCCTGCAGTCTATCAGTCTTGGGAATCCCTCATGAATCAGCAAAAACCTTTCCTTAGACCCTCCACATGTTGCACTGCTAATTAATTTTCCTGGCATCTCAGCATGGCCTCCTGGGAGCTGTTTCACATGAGACCCCACTGGACTGTTTCTCCCAAGACTGATGTTGCTCTGATCTGTTGTTTCTGCATTTGAACAGCTTCATCTGGATGGTTTGTCAAACTAAACTGACTAAAGACCCGTGTGATATTCCAGGGGGGGTAAGTAGCTGAATTAGTTCCAGGGGCTGGAAGGTGGGTGAGGAGGAAGAAACACAGCTATAAGTACCATCCCAGCGGATTCTCTGAAGGAGGAGAAATTAGAAACAGATAACAGCTTTACCTCCTGGGAAACACTCGGCAAAGCTTATTGCCAGTGCTGCATTCACCATAGCATGACACAGAGAGACCTGGTAGGTTTATCTCTTGCTTAATGCAAGCTTCTACATCACCTGCCCATGACTATCAGGTACCAGCTCTTCTTGTTGTGGAAGGAGAACCCTTGATACAAGAATCCAGGGAACCTGGCAGCCAAGCTGGCTGCAGTTCAGAGCCTACTTGAATCCATTGGTGAAGGACAATGATCTAGTGTCTGCCTTGTTTGCATTGTCTAATGACAGTGATACCCTTAAAAGCCTAATTAAGCAATATTTCTTGGCATGCAAATGTTTCTGACTCAGATTACAGAAGCTGGGTCTTTGGGCAGGCGCTGAATTTAGTGAAAGCTGGGTGTCAGCCCCCTTGTATTCTGCGGGCACACTCTTCAACCCAGCCTTTGCAGGACGTCTTGCTAGTACAGTTACACTCTTCCGTGAGTTGGCTGCCTTCAGCTGCGGGGAGCCTCTCTGCCCCTCAGATTAGGTGTCAACCCTGAATGTGCAGACATCCAGTCATCTTACATTATTCGTGTTATTTGCATTCTGGTTTCATCTCATGATAGCTAAGAGTCTGTGCATTAATTATCCTTTGGGCTACGCAGCCTGAAGGAGCAGCACAATGCATTTCAACGCTTGGAGCCACTGCCAGCTGTGGCGGACACCCCAGAGAGGAGAGCCCCACACTTGGGGCAGCCTGATGCAGCACCTCAGTCAGTTGGACACAGGTGATTCTTGGGGTGGCTGGTTTAATCTGAAAGTCTGGTTAGCTCTGAGCTTTCCTTTTGACACCATCAGAAAGAGAAGCTAGCTTTAGCTGTACTCTTGGATCTAGGAGTCGTCATTTACCAAAGGTAAAAATACCTCCTACCTTGTGGGAGCAGTGTTGAAGAGGGGATTTTAGCCCCATGGGGGAGAAGAATCACCCCGAGCATTTCGGCAGATAAAGACTAGAAACAACAGACTAAATCTTGGAGAGAAGGGCTGGATGATGGGTACAATGAACTGAACCGTTTTCCCCTTGCTTGTGGCAGCGTCATAAGCTTTGTATCTGCTTTGAGAAAGAAAATTCCCAGACCATTTCCCACTCTGGGATGCAGTACTCAGCCCAACTAAAGATAAGGGAAGCTGAGCTAACCTCTGTGAGGACAGATTACAGCCTAATAGCTTTTAATGAATAAATTAACATCTGCATGCAATGTTCTTTGTTACATGGAGTCAAAACTGGCCCCACTATTCACCATTTAATGCTATAGTTTTTGCAGAAAGGGGAGAGCCTATACTTTTGTAATAAAAGGATGTAAGTTATAGCCTTTCTGTCACCTAATTGTGTGTTTAGACTTCTACTTCTGAGCACTCATGTCTGAAAAGTGCTGCCTGTGTATCTTGAGGTAAAGGCCATTAAACTGATGATAGGGGAGATGAGCAGTAAGATGCATGGGGATTTTTTTTCTTTCAATCACCTCATTTAAATGGGAGAGAGAATCTCTCAGTAATCAGAGCATTTACCGGTGCCGATGCTGCGAACACCCTGCAGCTCACCGAGGAAATGAAATCCCCAGCTGTCACATTTCTTCAAGAACGATGATAACTAGGGGAAGCTTAATGTGTTTCACTGCAGCTAATTTATACAATGACTGCTCCCCACAGAAGACACGCTTACAGCACCGTTTCCCATGGATTTCCACACTCACACTTAAGCGCCCAACCCCATTCAGTGATGGGAGAGCCACACACTTCGTCCACACAGCTGAAGCCTACTCACCCCAAAGTCAAAGCAGTTGAATGAAGAGTGGAAGTAATTTCTTGGCCCCAGTCCATACATCTTTAAAGACATCTCAGTAAGGAACAGACCCAGAAAAACAAACTCTGCGAAATCTGGAAATGGGAAAAGAGGTTAAATGAGTCCACAAGACCTTGGTAGGCAGATCTCTTCATGTGGGGAACAACGGTAATTTTTCACAACACAGACTGTCTCCTGCCAGAAGAAAATCCCTTTGCAATGGCAAACGAGACCCCGAGGACAGTTTTGCATAATTATTTCTATATGCACATGAGCTGTATTCAGCCTTCAACACCTGTGAAGGCAATGTTTCATGTGTACTGCAAGAAGGTTGGTATGAGCACTAAATAATACTCTTATCTTTGTAAAGGAACTTCAAAAGAAAGCTCTTGAGCTAGTAATTCTAAAGGTCTAATTTAATTGCAGCAGTAACGTTTTGCAAATGTACATTTGGGACTTCTGTACCTACATGAGATGGGCACTTCTGGGAGCGGGGTGCGAGCTTTTGTAATATCCTCTCATGACAAAAATACCTTCGTACCTGACAGAACTGCTGCCTCCGAGTACTCATATTCAGAGGTGTTGTGTCTACTGTTAGCAGATAGTCACATTTCTTTTTCTTATGCCTGTATAGCCATATAACTATGGAAGAGCAAGTTCTGTTTCCTTCTGCGTCACATATCACAGGCAAAAGCTGTGAAGCTTTTGATGGGAAAATGTATCACTCATGTTGAAAGAAAGGGTAGAAAGAACATAGCAGATCAAGTTTTTAGGACTTGAAGTTACAGAAAACACTGCCGTTGGCATTTTAAATCATGCAAGTTTAGATCTGGAGGCCAATGAGCAACAGAAACAATGGAACATACAAACACAAACATGAAAAGGGCAAAAACTCTCTACACTACCAAAACAAACAAAGCAGCATAAGGCAAACCCCTCCCTCTAGAGAAAAGATGAGGAAAAGAATCAAACTTCAAAGGGTGGAGAGTAATCCCATTGCCTAGTGCACTACAGAAGGTTCTCGGATGCTGTAGCAGCGCAGATGCTACTGGAGAGTCATCTTCTGCAATTTCAGTTTTATGATTCCAGGAGTGATACAGACAAGATGGTGCCAAACTCTGCACAAAGGTGCACACACAGAGACAAGGGGCAATGGATACAAGCTGCAGCAAGGAAAATTTGCACTAGAGAATGCCAAATGCCAGTTGCTTTGGATACCTCCTACAGTGCGTGACTTCAGCTAATGAGTGTGGGGAGAGAGAGGAGGAAACGAGGGTCCTTTCAGACTGCATGGCTTTCACTCCACTCACTGTCTCACACTTCCATACTGAATGAACGCGGCTGGCCCAGGTCCATCTCGCATTGCTGCTTGTCTTTTAAATTTGCTTGACAAATACAGTTTTAACTATCAAAAAATAAAAAGGGGTTTTAAATTTTAAATGAAAGGCAGTCATGAAATATCATGGGCATAATGTTAATTGAAATCCAGTATTAACTAGATGAGACAGGTTTTATTAACATGTCAGTGAGGAGCCTACAAGGACACTTTTGCCAATATTTGCAATAGGGGAGCAAATAACAGGCGGGTGTTGATTGCACCGTGTAACCTACCCTTCCTTGGAAATAGGAGCAAAGTTGTTAAAGCAGGCAAGGGCAAAATGTTCCCATTTGAGAAATAAGATGATGAAGTATGAGGTCTGCAGACTTCTCAGCCTTTTTCCTAGCAAGAGGCAGGCTGCGTCCACGGGATCTCAGCACCCATGGGAAGGCCTGGTCACATGCAGGAGCAGCACACCTCCCGCTCTGTTTGAGCCTGGAACTTGCTAGGAGAAGCACGTTTACATCTGCAACACTCTACAACTTTTCTCTCCTTCCTGGTATCAGATGCAGCTGCTCAGCGAGCAAACAGTTGTTTCCAGCACAAGGGATCCCAGAGTAGGGTGTTCTCCACAGTCACACTCGCAATCGATCTGACTACACAAGAGCAGGGTGTGCCAGAAAAGTGCCAGGTGAACCAATGACAGGCATGAAATGAGATGGCTGACAAGTCCAATATTATAAAAACACAAAATTTTTAAAAATCTTAGGTTCAGTAGTATCAGATTTCCTTGCAGGTAATTAAAACCATTGCAGTTATGAAGTAGTAAGAATGTTAAAATCCTTAAGAATTAATATAGCTGGCCCTCTAAATCAGAACCTTAAACTAGCTTCCAGGCCAGATTCTGAGCGTCCATGCTGCACCCTACGTACTTTGGAAATGCTAAGAAACAGAAGGCAAAACTCCCCCAGTACAGCAGATGCATCTTCTCTGGACGTGGAAGACTTTGTGCTGCCGCTCTCACCTATTTCAGTGATTAGCCTAGAGGGAAAGCTCGCACCAGCGTTTGTGCTGACAAGAGTCTCTCCCTTGCTGGGAAGTTATCGCTCCCATTTTCGGTTTCACGCTCAGCAGAGCTCAGCAAGCCTGATGGTGCTTCTTGCAATTATTTCAGTGTAAAGTCTCCCTAACACAAGGACTGATATTTCAAACCAGTGCTTTGAAACTGGTGGCCTTGCTTAGTCAGCAGATAAAACTTCAAATCGCTGGGAGGGGCTGCAGATCAGACCTGCGGAAAGCACGGCACAACCTCCACCTGCTTCATGTCTCACTCAGGCAGGGACATCCTTACCCTCGTATCTATCCACCAGACTCACCTTCAGGGGTTCCATTTCAGGTATGCGCCACATTCTTTCACAGAATAACAATAAAAATACAGGTTTTAACTGTAATTTTCAGCAACAGATCTCAGGACACTTTGCCAAGACAATTACTATTCTTTTAAAAGATGAAAAAGGAGGAAAGAAACTAGGATTAATGTTCAGTCACTCATCCAGCAGAAGCATCAACAAAAATCAGGTATCAACCAGTGCAATGTTCCATCATTGGATGGATGTATCCTGCAAACAGACATGCAAAACCAGAGTATCATAGGAGAAAAAAAGCTAGCAAATGCCCTAAGTAAAACAGAATCAAAAAAACATTTGATGAAAAAAAACCCCAAACAGTAGGAAACCTTAGAAACTCAGAACATTAAAGAAACAACTTCCTTCTGCTGCTCTTGAAAGAGCCACCCAGCTTGTTCTTTCACTGTTGATGACTTCCAGCCAGAGCCGAGTTCAAAACAGGCAGCGACAGCTATATTTCAGCAGACACCGGGTGCTACACATCATACCACTATGAGGACAAGGATGGCGGCAAGGAAAACATGAACATAGTGAACTTCTTGGGCAGAAGGAATTGACTCAAAATGAATCGGCTTCTCCAGCAGACGGATCAGAAACACTTTTTTTTCTGATATGGCCCTGCCCATATAATTGAAAATGCAATTTCATTGTTTGGACCTCCTGGTATTCAGACCCCACATGTAATTTAATCGGCCTTAAGCAGCAGCGTTTTGTAATGTGATTTAAGGAAAAAAAGTTTGATACAAATACTCTTATTTAATTTCAAATTTGTGCTACTGGCAAAGGCCGTGCTGGGATCTTTTTGCCCCACACGTTTGAATTAGATAGTTGGCAGCTCTTTTTTTGTCAATTACCCATGGATTAATTCCATTTCTGCCCCAACTCCACATCCAATTTCATCAGGAGCAGGTGCCGAGGCTGCCAACTTGGTTTCCTCTGCTCATCCTCCTCATACATTAAACCAACCTAGAGGAGAACCTCAGCGAAGTAAAATTTCCTCCTCTTTGACAAAGTAGACGTGAAATGTTCAGCAGACAAAAATAAGTACGCTCACTTCTGCAAGCCTTTTCCTTGTAATTGCAAATGCTGCATATTTATATCTGGAGGGAGATGGGTATCTACTTCAAAGGCAAATACAACATCATAAAAAAAGGCCTAATTGTACCAAATACATGGCTTGGCATCACACAGCACACGGGGAAGACATTCTCAGCCATTATGGCTAAAATACTGTTTTCAAATCACAGAATCACAGAATGTTCGGGGTTGGCAGGGCGCTCTGTGGGTCACCCAGCCCAAACCCCTGCCCAAGCAGGGTCACCCAGAGCAGGCTGCACAGGACCTTGGCCAGGCGGGGTTTGAATATCTCCAGAGAAGGAGACTACACAACCTCCCTGGGCAGCCTGGGCCAGGGCTCCGTCACCCTCAGAGAGAAGTTCTTCCTCATGTTCAGCTGGAACTTCCTCTGCTTCAGTCTGTGCCCGTTGCCCCTTGTCCTGTCGACGGGCACCACTGAAATGTTGTATTTATTGGAAAGAAGATATTCTGGATCTTGTTTTTAGACAGATGTAAATTTAGTGGCAAGTTAAGGATCACTGTAGTGCTAGATGGAGAAACACGAAGAGACCTGCTTCATGATGGGCAGCCACAGGAGAAGGGAAGCCTGAGGAGAGGGCTCCCAAGTTAAACCTTAGTGATCCAATCCCAAAATCTTCGGACCATGGTCCCTAAAGCCTGCCCCAGGGAGGCCAGAGAGCTCTGGTTCCAGCCTTCTTCCACAGCTTTAGCCACAGGAAGACCAGACCACCACCATATCTGCTGGCCTCCTGCACAGCACAGGGCACGGAGATGCATTCACCTGTTTCCACACCAGACTTACAACTTCTGCTCAAGCCATAGCATGTATTTTTAAAAGGCACAGTCCTGACTGAAAAACCCTTAACGCTGCACCTCCAGCGTGTGTGCACATTACAGATTTTGTTGGTTTGTTGTCCTCTTTGCTGAAGATGCATCTGTGCTGCCACTAGATCTCAGCAACAGTTTTCTAGGTTAGATTACAGATTTGTCTTCTGAGAGAAGCCTGCTCTTTCTGAGAATACAAGCAATGGTGGAAATTAAAGCAAACAAATAAGAATCATGGGTGGCTGTATAAATATATAGTTCTGTAGGAAACTGCAACTTGTTTAATTGAAGGTCCATGCTTTGGTGAGCAGAATAAGCGACGTATCCATGTGCAGCATGAGAAAACTCCTATTGCAATGTGGCACTGGAGTCCTTTCCACGCAGAGAAGGAAAATCTCTGATCTAATTTAGGGATAATTACAGGGTCATGAAGTATGTCCTGTTATTCACTGTACCTCAAGAATTCAAAGAATTTCTCATCAGCTCTTCCAATAAGACGAAAGAAATCCCAAGCCCCTTTCTAAAGCTCTTACAGTTCCTTTTTCAAAGCAGTTTGCAGCAATATGGAATATCAAGCAGAGAAAGCTAATCAGAGCAATTCAACAGCAGAAAAGTTAAAAGAAAAGAATAAATCAATGCAGACCCGTAGGCTTTTACCAACCATTCTTTAAGTAAAATTAATTTGTAATGTAATTAAACTTTTCCCCAGAGGGACAGGTGTAATTGAATTAGAGGTGCCTGGGTAGGGTTCCAGCCTTTAGCGGATCCTCCCAGACTTTCGCACACTCCTCTCCCACTGCTACAACTCACAACACTCCTCCCCAGTTCGTTTCCAAGCACATTCCATGAAACAACATAATTAGAATCGGCTATTTCTTTCTTGCTGTACGTCGAATCAGCCAAGTCCTGCTCCTCTGTAGTGAAGTTCACTCATCACGGATTAACTTCAAAGCCATTTTAAAACTCTGTCACTCTTACAGTTAAAGGATTTTGCCAGGTATTTCAAGGAGCTGTTTGAAATCCCCTGGTTTTGTGATATGATGTTCTGCCTATATCTAATGGATTTGTGCATGAATCTTGGGCAGCACAGGGCTTTCCAGGAGCTCTCCTCCAGGGCTGAACCACAGCGGGGCTCGTTCACCAACATGTTTGCTGCAGGGCTGATCGGGATGGCTGCGGGTCAGCACATGCAGGAGGGAGAGGGGCCAAGCCCACCAAGCCCAGTCTTACCGTGGCAGCAATAAAGAAATAACCAGTTAGTCCATGCAAAGACCCATGTACCATAAGGCATAAAATATTCCCTGCATTCAGTATTAAACTATAGATTAGTAGGAAAGACCATACTGTGAAAACTATACCATCCCCCAGGAAAGCAAGCAGAAACCTTTAGGTCATCACCAGTGCAAAGACAGGCATGAATACAATACTACAGCTCGTCACCGTGAAAAGCTGGGAGGGTTTGGAGGTATGGGACTCTTACGATTTAAGAGGTTGAACTTGGAAGCCATTTCAGTAGACCACTATTAGAAGCTCTTTGTTCTGAAAACTACATTAAAATAGGTTTCTTCCCAGAGTTTCTATTACACTATGCTGTAAGACCGAGCAGAGACAACTCTCCCCAGAATGAGCGCATGGCACCTCTGCTTCTCATTTTGGGAAGAACTCTCTCTGAAAAAAGAAAAAAAACCAAAACAAAACCATCAACCCCACCACCACCCTAAATCTTAAAATTTCTGTGATGATGATTCATTCTGCATCTCTGGCTTTTATTCTCTGTGTCACAGTTGTTAATCTTGTACCACTCTGTTTAAAGACCCAATGCTTATAACTAATCAAGAACATCTACAACGCCTGTGATTCCTGAGATACTTAGCTTCGGCTGTGACCCACGTCCGTGTTGCCCCTCACCTGTCACAGCGGTGTTTCTAGCAGTGTTTATCTGTAGCCATTAGTATTTCTTTTAGTGAGTCTAAGGAACTGGCTTGTGAAACACCTGCCCAGGTGTTTCCTCATTGACAAAGGACACTCCTGTCTCACAGTAAATAGCAGTGCAATTCTGCAAAGACATACAAAGGGCAGATGAGACACAGGAGAGCACCTATGGCTGGGAGGATGCTGAGGATTTAACTCCCGAGAACACATAGTTCTTTGGGGTTTTTCTGACTTTCCCATGAAAAGTAACTCAATGGGATCACTATTTCTTAGCCAGGTGGTACCCTAGCACCAAGAAATTAAATTATGCTACCCATACGCATCTTCTGAAACTAATTCACAATATTTGATTTATGGACACATCCAGTGCTCCTGAAAGAAGGATCCACCCCAAACCCTGATCCCAGACACAACACAATTTCAACCTTCCCTCTTTTTTTGTCTTCAGCTGAGGTAGGTTGGGAACCTATTTTGCGGCCTCCATCCCAGATATGTTTCCCACCTGGAGGCGTACCTTTAATTCTAATCCACAGAAACATCACTTCCAGCTCTCATATGAACATTAAGTAGAAGTTGCCAGCTCACAGATTTCTTAACGTTCTTTCAGAAAAGTTACTGCATAAGGTCTTCCTGAAACTGAGTTTAGAAACCTGAAGCCTTCTTTTTTGAGTTGAAGGACTTAAAGTGTTTTTTTCTCTAGACATTTAGTCCTAATTCAAGAGGAAATCCTAAGCCTCAAACTTCTAATTACCCTGCCAATCTAGCTTATTATTTCCTCTGTTAAATTTAGGAAATGAATAAGCAAGACTGACTTCTCTGCTGTATAGTCTGTCTCTCTTCAGTCTAAATCTTGGGGGGGGCCGCGCTGAAAGAAATGTCTGTCTTCTGCATCTTTCATTAACAGCTCCAGTTACCTGGTGGTATTAAATGTTTCAGCAAACATTAATAAGGAGACTTTTGAAGTCAGAGCGGAGAGTATTCTTGACCTCTTAGGTCTGTAAAAAAACTTCAAAAGTTTTCTTCCTTATAATAAGGTAAGGCTTGAGGATTTCAGACTAGAAATGTTTAAGTATCTAATTTATACAGAAATCAAGGATAATTAGGTAGATAAGCATCTTTAATGATCTAAGCCAAAATTGTTAAGTCAGACTGTTTGAAATATTCTGCATTTTTTCCCTAGTCTTCTATTCTCTTGCTTCAAAAGTTTTGCTTAAAAAATTCTGAGCTAGCCACATCTAATTATCAAGTACTAAACCAAACATTTGTTCCTGGCTGTTTAATAGATTCCGAAGTGGCCAAAGCAATAGCTCTGTCTCCCAGAAACAAACTCTCCATCTCTTCCTTTCAGAAGAAAAAATTTGCAGTGTCACACTGAGTGCCACCATACACCTATCTTACCCATTTCTACACGTTTTCCAGCTCTAGGAATCATAACCTACAACCTTCATTAAAATAAACAAAAAAGGTCTGTCCTTCACATTCCACATTTTTTTAAAACGGGCTTTGTGAGCAAGTCTGCTACCTCAGTGTAACACTGTGATGTGTAAAGGCTCTGACTGCAGACAGCTGCCTTCGTTGATTATTCAGTGCAGGGTAGAACAATATGCAATTAAAAAAAAAAAAAACAAACCCAAAAACAGAAACAAAACACACTCCAAAAGCACTTCTAGACTGTCTGAAGTTCAAACTGATAGGTGACCAGAGGAACCAAGCTAAAATAAAGCTTTTGCACACATATAATCTTATGTATGGTATCATTTCTATCACCACTCACATGTTTCCACAGAAGGACATGAGCTGCAAAGTGGCATGAAATCTGCAGTTCTCTGGGCAGCTGCTGATTAAACAGAGGAATTCGCCTTTATCCGAGTATGCGGCCATTCCTCCCCATGTCATAAAGCCTGCTACAGGAAATCCTCCTGCAGTGTTACACGATTAACAAGTGGTTGAACCTGAAGTTTCAGATCACATTCCCACATCATCTCAAACCGGTATCATGCCTTGGTGGATTTTTTCTGAATGGTATGACTCCAGTACTCGAGTTACTAGAACCACAGAATGCATTTCTGACCCTGCTCTAAGGCTGGCATGGGAAGCCACAAAAACAGACCTCACGGAGATGCCACAGCAGTGCTCAGAGCAATCAAAAATGCAAAACCTCGTTAGAGGGAAGGTGGAATGCCCGGTACTCACACAGCGCTGTGGTAAGCTTCTCCGGCTGGTCATAGTGCACCATCGCAACGCAGAGCGTGTTGAGGGCAACCACGCAGAGGACAATCCAGTAGAAGCTCTGAGCTTTCACCATGCGCCGGATGAAGAACCGGAACATTTTCTCTTTCCTCCTGAAGTAGGACGAGCTCTCGTTCTTCCCGCTCTTCAAACTGGCACGGGCAAAAGGAGACCCTGGGACAGAAAGAGGAGTCACCACACCACATCCTGGCAGGCAAAAGGCCGGAGGACATTCCTGGACACACAGACCCTCTCCCAAGCACCAGAAACACAGCTGAGCAGAAAGCTGGGCACATTGACTATGGACTGAGCAAGGGCGTCTCGCTTGTAATGGCATTGTGAGGGATGAAGGCCAGGATTTTTAAACCTTATGAATGAATGCCCAGCTCCATCATCTAAAGAAACTGGGCTTCCAATCCCTTAAAGCAATCTTGATTGTCCCAGTTTAACTCGTAACTTTTGGGTTCCCAGTTGACTGAAGACACAGAAAGTACCAGGCACAGTGGTATCTCTACCCATGGTGTGGAGCACATCCTCTTGGAGCTGGGTAGCTGGAAATGGGAAAGCTGGTTCCTATTTCCCCTGCTCCAAGGACCAGGCAAAGATTCAGCCCTTATGCTGAATTGAGTGAAGTCTCCTTATTTTACTCTCCGACTTCATGTATTTCTACAGCAGAGGGCTCAATCTGCCTCCATGCATCGTATTTTGGGCGCAGCTACTCATTTGTATCCATTCTGCCATCTCAGCTACATTTTGAGCCCAGTCTGAAACCCTGGAAAAGAGTCAAATGTTTTAACAATAGGAAGCTGAAGGGGGAAATGATTTCTAATGTGAGCTCTCCCCCTGCGGTAGCAGGCAGTGTTGAAACGAATGATGAAAAGGCAATCTCCAGCCAGTGCTGAGGCAGGAGAAATCAGCACGTTAGCAATAAACACGTGCATCGGGAGTTCCTCTGCAACAGCCGCTGTTGCAAGCAGGGCAACTCGTGCTTGCAGCAGGTTGCCCACTACCTGTTTCATGCTGGGCCGGCACCCCTCAGAAATTGCTAACGAGCCTTGTTTCAAGATGGTTTGTGGCAAAGTCATGTGCTATTGCCCTTTCCCGTCATGGGACAGAGCCTCCCAGCAGGTAGGGCCGAGCAGGACACAGACCGTCCTGCCTTGGACCAAGCACTGTCAGACCAGATGACTTGCATGGGCTGTCCTTGGAGATGGCCGAGTTACACAAAGTGTTCTGGCTGCGGCAGCCAACTTTTTGAGTGTGCTGGCTTACATTTCAACACTTGGAAGGGATAGCAATCTCACCCTGTTTCATCCTGCAATCACACCAAACACAGCACCCATAGAAAGAATGAAGCATCCAGATGTGACAGCACTGGGTTCTCCAAACCTCACAGCTACACAAGTGTGCTGTGCCGTCTCCCCAGTAGGGAGGAAGCTCTCTGCTCCATTTCACATTTCTGGTCATCCACCAACACACCAAATGCAGAGCTGGCGCTGGCCAGGCTTTGAACAAACTCCTTGCGGAAAAGCTCGGTGCGCTGCTGTTCTGTTAGTTTGAAAATCCTCCCTTTGGCAGCTTAAAAAAAAAAGCCATACTGCTCTTCTATTGCTTTAAGACAACGAAACAAGCTAAGATGTAGGCTGCACCACATCATAACACTATTTAGCAGGTGAAGACCTCCCAGATACTCAAAAGTCGGGCTATAGTCTCAGATTTGCATGGGAACAGTCTGCTGCCCTTTCATCCCCTTTCTACTAGCTCTACTGATCTTCCAGAAAAGAAAAGCAGCAGTGTTTAAACTGATCTAAACTTAGAAAACATCCACTTCTCTGGGCTTGGCTGTCTGGCAATCAAGACGGTGTCCAGTGCCCTTTACAGCACAGAGGATGGGAAGCCAGAAGGAGCCAGCATCTCCTGCTGCACGCTGATTACTGCAGAAAGCAAGGCTTAGACTTCGGATGAAAGAAAAGAATAAATGTGCAGAACAACTCCAGAGAACACACTGGGAAGTGTTTACCACTATAGAGCTTTATAACGCAATTATAAGGCTCACTGAGGTACTTGTGTTTGAATTAAAGTGCAACGTATTCAGTCAACAGCCAGCAAGAGACCTGTCAAAGTCTCCACCACTTTGGCCTGCATCTTCATGTTGCACTCAGTAATTACATAGTTTTTCCACGCTCCTTATGCTCCCATCAGCAAGACATTATAGAAAACCATCTGAAAAAACCTTTTCTAAAAAACATTCTTCATGCATAATCTCACATATGATCTGATTGTTTATGTTATGCAGAGCTTCAGCCTTTTCAGGAGCTTGCAGAAGGATCTGCTTTATCCATTTCTTCTTTTCTGCCTTGTTCCACGTATCAAAATCAAAAACACTCTTCCCAAGTGGGTGAGCCACTCGCAGAAGGTGGAAAGCACTGCTGTTATTTTCCCTGCCATATGCTCCTGAGACAGTTCCCAGGTCTGCATCAGATTATCCACAAGTCCAGATGCTCTGTCATCCGTTGCCACCTGAAACACTGAATTCAAAGATCTGTTTGCATGGCATGGGTGCCCAGAGCCTGGAGGGACTTGGATGTGAATGCAGCGATCTCATAATTATTGCAGCCGTGAACAAATGTTCCAAAAATGACCGCTCCTTGTTATCCATGCAGAGATGCGAGCTGCTCAGAATAAACCAAAACAAAAATGCACATGGCTGCTGCATTTGTGCCCTCTTCCAGCAACCAACCTCTCACAGAAGCGTCAGCAGTTCAGCCACAAAGCCTGCAGCCTGCTCAGCCTCGGGGACTGTGGCAGCTCAGCAGTGGGTGATGGTGTCGGTAACACGCTGAGCAACATTCATCTCCTGAAACCAAGTCTTCATTTACAGGGGAAAAAAAAAAAAAAAATCCAACAGCAGCTGTAATCTCTTAAAACATTAATGCCAAATTTCCAAAGAGCATTTGAGGCACTTCTGCTTGCAAGCATATATGGACGTGTACTCTCCAATGTACTGTTTGTGCCGCTACTCGTACACAGCCAGGATTTGCTGCTTCGTGGTAACTGGGGTGCCAAGACATTTCTTTGGAAGATAATGAGAACATCTGCTGCTTCAGCAGCAAAACAAAATACAGACTCAAACAACAGGGACAGGAATGAGCAAAACAGCTAACTCCAAAGCAGTCAGGAAGATCTGGAACTCCCCAGCCAGCAAGGAAGAGCCCATGACTGAAAAGTCTTTCTGCCGATGTCCAAACAGCTCCCCTTAAATCGGGTGCTGGGTGCTCAGAGCCTGCCTCCCCTTGCCAGCCCCAGACCTGCTCCGGCCTCTCCACCCAGCAGCACTGCAGTGGGGAACGAGGTCTCTCCCAGCTGCAGGACAAGCAGTACCTCATTCCCCAGAGCTGAAGTGACCAAATTCACAGCATCGGTGCTACACTATGCAGGATGACACCCTCTACACTGGAGATCTCTGGATAACTGCACATACATGGGTGCATATCTCCATATCTGGCTTTAAAAATGTAGAGACAACACGGAGACAAAGAAAGGCAAGAATGAGAGAATTAGGGCCACTGCCCAGCATTTCCCAGTAACCATTTAGACAGCAAAGGCTGCAAAACCACACGCTGCGCATCAGCGGCAGATGTGACCAAGTGCCCACTTCCTCGCCTCCCTTCAATGGATGAGGCTTCGCGCAATTGTGTGACATATCTGGGTTTTATTAGCATGAATGAGCATGTTCCCAGCAGAATCCCAGTACGGCCAGCGCAGCAGGGATTCTCCAGCATTCTGGCAGGGCTCTCTCAAAGGGCGCAGCATGCAATTAGCAGCGTCAGGGAGAGGGTGAAGCCACGAAGCCATTTGCTTTGGGAAGTCTGGTGCTGCTGCAGGAACAGAGATCATTCTCCTTCTTCAAACTGCAGCTTCTAGAGCACAGGAGCCGCTCGGAGGAAACACGACATGAACACGTTTAGGTGGAGATCTAAACCTCAGGGAATGCAAAGCCAGTACTCACCAACGGAGCAAATGTCTGTGAAATGGTCCTCACCTTCTTCAGCATGAATCAGGTCATTTTTGCTCTTCTTTATTGCAGCTCTTTTCAACACTGTGTGCAAATTAAAGAGAAAATGCCCCGTGAGCATTCAGGGTGGATTCTCTCTCCCCCTCCCTTCACTCTCCAGGGCCAGCATTTACTTCCCAATGCCAGCTTAAAGTTCTCACACAAGGGTAAGCCGGAGCAAATCAGACAACCTACAACCTTGCAGGGCCTCAGCATGCTTCGGTGGCAGGGTCATCTATTTATCTGACCTTCTAGGTCTTGAAGGTTTGCCAGGCACAGGTCTGCACACTGAACTTCACCCCAGCAGACAGAGGAGGGTGGGGTGGTCGGAAGCTGCCGGAACTTTTAGCACAGCAGAAAGGCTGCACAGGGTCACTGAATCTTTCTGAGCCCCAGTGGGTTATGAGATGAGTGCTTCCATCCATTAAAAACATTAAAGCTGTTTACAGTGTGCACCATTAAGAAGTTAGTATTTATGATGCTCGGATGCAGGTTACCACAGAGCAATGCCTTAAGCAGCAGAAATGCTATGTCGAAAGCAACTGCCACAAATCAGTGGACATCTTAACAGCACCCACGGTACAATTCCTTCCCTCTGCGGGTGACATCAGTCTTTGAAAACACACTTTGTCCAACAGCGTCCTTCGTGGGGAGGGCAAGCATCGCGACACCATTTCAGTCAACAGGGAGAGACCTGCACCCTACGGCTCAGAGAGGTCTGCACTGACCACCCAGTGCACGAGGGGTAACGCAGGAACAGCACTGACGCTGATCCCATAACCACCTACCTGCAGAACCTTGAGAACCAGCAGAAAAAGGTACGTTGATACAGTTTGGTAACAGCTTCAAGACACACAGTAACTAAGCACCATTTGCTATCAGCAGTAAGACACCCCACGGTGTGGTGATACATACTGTTCAGTAGGCACACACAGCAAACCCACTCACTCTGCAGCGACTGCCCTGGGGGTACGTTCCTATGAGAGGATCCCCTCACCTGACACAAATTTCCCTGCCTTGACAGAGAAACAGATGCATTTCTTCCTCCACAGCGAAGGCAAGCGTTGGTGTTTTTGTCACTTCAAGGAAACACCCAGAGCATCAGCCAGGTTCAGAGAAGCTCAAAGAGGAGAGGATGCTCTGAACCTGTGGTCTGGATCCATTTTATTGCAAATAACAGCTTTTCCTCCCCACCCAGCAACAGGCTGATTCCTCATTCCCAGCAATGCTAGCTTTTGGGTCCTCTGGCTGCATCTGTCCCAGTACACTCCAGCATGTACAGGGCCATCCTCAGCACTGGAACATAACCAGCTCTGGGAGTAAGGTTTTACAATGCTCCCTGGCATGAATTGAGCACCTTCTTCTTTACCTTCTCCCCCCAGAAAACTCCTGCATGTGTTTAGCAATGAGATTGTGGCATCCCTACAGGGACCTCGGATGCAACATGCCCCAGTTTTGGAGACTAAGACAATTTACCAGCATAGATGCGGGCTGCTCCGTACCAGTTGGCTTCAAGGCTGGGAACATTGCCAGGCTCCTTTAGCTTACTAGTACAAAGGAAGCCTTAGTACACCTGAGTCCTTACTCCATGGCCTGCACCCACCTCTAGTTTGCTTACACCACTCAGCTTTTCAGACTGCTCTTCCAGACACTCATTTCAGCCCGAGACTAACAGCCCTGGCTGCTGGACAAACGTCCCCGGTGCACGCACACCCACGCACCCACAGACACGCACGAAGATTTGCCAAGCACACCTCAGCCCTGACCTTCTGCAGCCCCAGCTCTTCCATCCCCGAGTCCTCCCTGAGGACAGGTCACCCGGTTGGCCAAGGTGGGCTAGCAGCCGGGCTCCTGATAACCCCAGGAGCCGCGTGGCTCGGAACAAGGTGCAAAACCACCTGGGAAGCATCGCTGGTGACCTGGGCCCGTGGGACTGCGGGGAAGAAGCACTGTCCCGCTGTGCCGCCTAAGCCCCTGGTGATTTGCAGTCCACTCACTGTTGTAGCTGCTGCCGCTGCTAGTCTCTGCCGGTGCCGTGCCTTGTTGAATCGGCCCTTCCGAGGCGGCCCTCCCTGACAGTGAATGGGAGGAGAAAAAAAAAGAGGAGGGAAAGGGAGGGGAGGGGAAAGGAGGAGACATGGGAGGACGAAAGATGGTCAGAAAAGGGAGAGGGAAGAATCTTTAACTGAACTTTGACTGGCTGTCACATCCTAAGAGCTCATCGGTCTGGAGACACAGGGAGAGCGGTCCCCGTGGCCTCGCTGCACCTGTGTCCGAAGCTCGGTACCTCCAGCTGGCCTGCAATGCTAGGGTCACACGTCGAAAGATAGGATCACCACACCCTGTTATGTCTTACTGCTTACAGGTAACAGGGGTCTTAGTCTCTTTGTCAAATCCGTTTGGAAACCTCAGTTTAGAGCCCTGCCTTCTCTCGGTCAATGCGCTTCGCTTCTGGCTCTTCAGCCCATCCCTGACACAGCCACCCATGCTCGGCAGAGGCTGACGGGTGTCCCCATCACGCTGTGGTCCCACAGGCAGTGAGGGACCAACCGACCCCGAGGGCAGATCCCCATCCCAGAGTGGTGTGTCACATAACTGCTCATCATCCACCTGCAACCTCAAAAAGACCTGATACGGGAAAAGGGACTCTTTAGCCCGACTTATACCAAGTGCATGCAAGAGCGTGTTCCTTGCACCTTCCTGGTTACAACAGAAAGCCATGTCAGTGTACAGCAGGTGAACCTCTCACGTATCACAGGAGGAAAACTGCACAACAAAATCACCTACCGTCCAGAGGAGACTTCTCTTCCGCATTCTTGTCTTCCTCTGCTAGCATGACCTCCTCTGTAAAAGGAAAACCAGCAAGGTTTAACCTCAGATTTATCACATCCCCACTCTAAAACCAGCTGAGCTGGATGCAGCAGGCATCGGTCCCAGCTGCCACCAACCTTACCCCAATGTATCTCCCAGTTACACCAAGTCTGAGGAGGAAGGGAAGGCTCGGAGAGCTGTGTTTCTTACCCTGTGCCCCTCTTGCAGACCAGACAAGCCACTGGAATACTGCAGTGTTTCCTCCATGATTTCCCTCTTCACACAGAGCTACCCACTCTAGTTTCTTTACCCAAATATCTGGAGAGAAGAACCTTCCTTCAGACCCAAGGAAGACCACAGGGCTCCACAAGCCAGAGGATGGTCCCTCACGCCCAACCACGTTGGAGACACTCTTCGAGGAGTGAAAGGTTTTCTACATCCATTACTGTTCTTCTGTCTCCATCATTAAGACCAGGACACCAGCCCAGGGGAAACAAATCTCTGTCTCATGGCACAGGGTAAGACAAGCAGGGCTGGCTGCTGTGTGTCAGCTGTGCCACACTGCAGGGGACAATGTCACCAGATAGCCATTAGATCAAATCTTTGTCCACATAAAATCCACAGCAAAGTAGCCATGGGGGAGTTCTGGCTAGCACTGTTCAAGTCGCGCACTATGTGCAAGATTGCCACCCTTGGGTTTTCACTGCTGTGTAACTCACCTCCAAAATATGAGTTTATGCTTTCCTACAGTAAAAGAATTCTGAAAACACTGAAAAAAACCAACACCACAAAACTGACTCATTTTATTTGCATGAAGGACAAGGGAATTTCCCGAAATGTTTCAATGCAAATGGCATCACCCGAGTCAAATTGCAGTACACACCACACTGCGCCAATACTCGAAACCATACAGTTCACACAGCCTGAACCACAGATTTTAGCTTGTTTTAGTTGTAAAATTTTCTTCGAAAGGACAATCTAAAGCAAACAAAACATTGAGCTGGCAGCTGGTAAACTGCACGCTTCCTTGTATTATTATGAATGACAAATTCTTTCACATGTTTGGCACAGATTTAATTTGGGATCTTACTAAATCACCTGACACTGTGTTCCCACAAAATTTTGCTTTACGGTCCATTTAAGCCAGCCTAGATGGAAGGCTACCTAAAAAAAAAAAGAGAAAATCCAAACAAACCACAGGCCAAACATCAAAGTGTGGAGCTGAAAGTCGTCTGGAATAATACCAGAGGGATCAGCACTACCACACAAGCCTTACATAATCTCTTTATTAATCATCTAGGAGAGTGAATGATACATTAATAAGACAAGAAACTGAGAATGCTGAAAAATAATATTCAGGACTGAGGAAGACTGGAAACCCAAGCAGAGAAGAACAAAACATGAAAATGCATACTGGTGCATCAGAGACATGGAAGAAGGTAAGAAAAGCAATGGTGCTCAGACAGCATTAAAAAATGTCAGCTGAGCTAACAACTTTAAAACACATGAAATCCTTCCAAAAACTCACAAGCCAATACAAGTCAGATGTTCTCCAAGGCTCCTTAAAACAGGTCAGAAAACTCAAATGCATTTTTTTGATAGTTCAAGAGAGATTGCTCTTCCAAAGTCTTGTCTTGAGAAATGCTATAGTGGTTTTTTGGGGCTAAAAATATGGAAGGAGTTAAATAACAAGTAATAATGAACATGACTGGCCTAAAACATGTAGAAGGGATGGTTTAGATATGGAGATCTCTTCCCAAAGGCAGCTGGACAACGGGCCTGCAAATCTGAAACACAAAGCAAACTTGTCCTGGCAGAAGCATGAGCTCAACATGCTAATGCAGTAGGCGTTTTCCTGTAGATTTTTTAAAAGCCTATGTTGCTCCTGGAGTACGATTTTAAAAGCTTTACATCATACCGGAACATGATATACCCACACCGCTGCGCAGGACTATGCACAAAACCGAGTCTAGCTCCCAGTGCCAGCAGAGCCAGTAGTGCCACGCAGGTGTGTCTGCACTGTTTTGGATCCGGGGCTTAGTTCAGTCATCAGTACCTTGGGGCTCCATTTTGTGCTTCTCTGCACAACACAAATGTGTTTTTTCTTATGCTACGTACTAGCAAGTTGCAGTGAGAATTAAAACCATTTGGAGTGAAGTGTATGTTTGGGTCTTGGGACAAAGAGCAAGCACAGGAAAGAAAACCCATCCCAGAGGATCTCTTCTGCCACTCCCAGAAAAAGAAGCTAACTTTTAGACAGCATTTGGTAATTAAATGTACCAATACAAGCTATGGCAGGAACACACTGTCATGCAGGTGGTGAGCAACCAAAATAATGAGCTAGAAAAATCAGAAGACAAGCAGCTGTTCTTCAGGGGCTACACCCAGAGGAGTGCGGTGCAAGAGAGCTGTGTCTGCAGGAGGAAGATCTCAGCCAGACCCAGCACACTCACTGGTCATTGCTCTGAGGGTTGCTGGTTTCAAACACATCTTGTTACAAAAAGTTAATAAGTTAAGCCTATTTGCTTAGCTGGAAGCTCAGTTCTGTACTCAATTTCTATCAGTGCAGGAGGAAAATCATTGTACTGGTTCCTTTCAAAGATGTCTGAGTAGGAAAAGAAATTCTTCCTTTTCCCTGTTTCCGAGTGGCCTCTTGTTTTGCACATTCCCGTAATAGTTTGTCATGACTCTCCACTGTCCCTTGGGCAGCAGGGGAAGCACAACGCTGAGTCCCCAGATCACCTCTGGGGACCGAACTATGTGAATATCTAACTATCGTGGTTTGCAATGGGGTACAGATGCCACCTGATTTTCCAGTGCCACGTATGCCCCCATGGCAAGGCTGAGGGGAGGTTTAGCCATACTGAAGTTTCAGAAACCAGAGTGATAAACGCCAGTGGGACCTCAGAATTTCTCAGGGGTGACAATTTGATATCAATGTATCTTCACCTACAAAGCACACACTCTTTTGAGACAACTCTGCAAACCAGCTAAGACTTTGCCCCAAATTCAGGGCCCTGACTTGGTGCCCAGTCATCCATAGACACACCTCAAACAGGGCTCAGTTTTACTGTTCCCTTAAAATACACAAACCCCAGGTTTCAGCTATGCAATTCCCTTAAGTCTAACTCCCCTCCACCATTCTCTCCCTTGATAGTCACTCCTGCCTTGCATCCTCTGGGAAACCAAAGGACCACGTTTACTCTAGCGAGGCTTTACATGGTTTTGAAAGCCTGCTGAAAAGACAGCTCAGCAGACTAGTCATCATTGCTAGGGTTTTGGGGTTTTCTAAGCCAAAAGCAGAGGATCAGAAGTTGCATTGCCTTTAGTCATCACTGTACCACGGAAACTGGAAGAAGATAATTAGGATGCCTGAAAACATCTCAAACAACAGCGCCTCTACATAAGAAGAAATATTCAACAAAGAGACAGTGTCGAATCAGCAACTTCGAGCCTCCAAACAAAGGCACAGGGGCTTTGCTGGGATATCTGAGGGAGAAGTGTCTCAGCAGCAAGATTAATTGCTGGTCATTAAGTCCTGACAACACACAGCATGTTACAGGATTGGAAATAAAAGCAAACCTTATGCTGAGGAACTGGCAAGACGAACAAAGCAGCAGAGAAACATGGTGCCCTTTCTCTTTCTCTTTGGCATGGGGAGATAGGATTTGTGGGCTCAAAAGAAGAGCAGATTACGGGAAATAACTCATATTCCACAGGCGACTGAAGTTAGAAGAAAGGAACAATTGAATTTCACTGCTGAAGCTTCATACTTGCTAAATAGAGAAAGTAAATAAAAATGCATCCCTTAGAAGAAGCCGTCACACTCTCACGGCGACTCTAATTTGTCTTTCTGGCAGTTATCCCCCCTTGCCATCTCACACCTGTTGTTGCCCTTTTTCATTGATGTCGGTGTCTTTTCCCAGCTGTATCCAGGGGCTTGTTGATCTGATTCTTCTACAGAAAGCAAAACCTGAGGTTCAGAAAGCTTCATCATGTGAAAGAATGGCATTCAAGGTAAAGTGAGCCAGAAGAGAGGTTAAACCCGTTCCCAAAGCCTGCTTAGTCCAGGAGAAAAGAAACACTCAGAATCAGTGCTGTGTGAAAGGGATGGACTTGGAAAAAATTAAAATGCAAAAGACATGCAACTTGATTATCTCTGAACTGAAAGATTTCCAGTCTCTGAGCACAGTGTTTTCAAAATGATGCATGTCCTTGTAAGATAAGAGAAACATCTTCAAAAGAATATTTGTGGGCTTCTAAGTGCTTTACTCTGCGCAGAGAACTTCTAGGTCTCTGCTCTCCATTGGAAATGCAGCATGACAGGCTAATAGTTGCCACAGTTTCAAGGAGTTTAATGCAGAAAGCAGCGGTGGCAAAATCATCTGCATGGATGACGCTGCTTGGCTTCACCACTTTTCAATGCCTCTGAAAGGCACAATGTCAGACCGACTTGCTACAGCCTTTGCACAGAACCCAACAAAAACATGAAAGGAAGAGCAGAGCCTATCCCAGCACGCAGCCGGTGGAACAGGGCAGGGTTTGCTCGTCACCAGCAAGACTTTATTTGATATTGGTTGAAAAGAAGAAGATGCACGTGGGAAAAAGCGCTGTTGTCTTGTGCCAAAAGGAGCAACACAGTGCTAAGCACTGCTTTTTACACCCGTATCAGCTGACTTCTAGCGGTGGGAAGAGCCGGTCCCTTTAAAGAATTTACTAAAAACCAGAGTTGACTTTGCTCTTCATGATTAAATTTAAGATTACAGGTCTGTTTCTAACTGATCCATACAGTTCACTTCTAAACGATACAGAGAGTCAATGTTTATGAGGTTCACATGACAATTACCACAAAAATTTCTGGCCTGAATTGTGTGAGATGCCAGAAATGATGCGGTTTGATCATTGTTTCTGGCCTGTAACTTGCATTAGTTTTATAAGACTGAAAAACTTACAGATTTGAAGGCACTTGCAGATTTATAAGTCATTACAAGCTGCACAACATCTCTTCTTGACGACCTCAAAAAGATTCCGCTGAGTTACAGTTTTCCTTGCTTAGTATTTGTCTCATGAGAATTTTACACGAAATGACCTGTTCTCTCAGTTGAAAATATTTAAACCCTCTTGACTACCCTTAGTATTCATTCTTCAACACGCACCTGAGAAATAAGTAAAGCTAGAAACTTCATCCCTGGCCTTTGTATAATCCTAAATGAAGAAAGTCTGTTCAAACTCTAAGGAAATTAGTCAGACCGTGGGCTGATTTTTTTTTTTTTCTTTCTAGTCACACACATCTAAATTCAGCACTTCAGCACATTATCTGTGTTACGATTTTCATTTTTGTTCCCCATCCCTGTGTTAAGGAGGCATTTGTTAAGCATTTCATCAATTAAGGTTTCCTGTATGAAGTACAACTCACACAAGTATTTGCACATTAAGATTGTCAGTGTTTAAAACACCTTGGTATAGCTCCCTCCAGCAGATATGCTGCTGACTATATTAAACCATCCACATTTAAAACAACCCGAGCTACATTTGCTTCAGTTTCAACCACAGCTGCACTTATGATGATTTATCAGTAGTGAGCTGGCACCAAAATCTTTCAGCTGTGCCAAAGTACCTCCTTGAAAACTTCACAGGCACTTTTTATTAATATTTTCTTCCTTTTTATACTCTGATTTTACTACTGGAAAAAATTTAAAAGTACCACCAGAAAAAAAAAAAAAAAAAGAAAAATGTAGAAGTCTGTTCTTCGAGAGCCAGGCTATGAAAGAAGTTTCTTTCTTACAGCACAGATGTAAGACAAGTCATTAGATCAGGTCTGGAACACGCTTGAGTCAGACAGCACTTAGAAAAAATTAAAAAAACCCCCCAAAAAAAAAAAAAAAAAAAGAAAAATGTAGAAGTCTGTTCTTCGAGAGCCAGGCTATGAAAGAAGTTTCTTTCTTACAGCACAGATGTAAGACAAGTCATTAGATCAGGTCTGGAACACGCTTGAGTCAGACAGCACTTAAGAGGCAGAAAACAAAGACCTGTTGTTTTCTTCTGGAGAAGAAGCAGTCTACATTTTCAGTTTAAGAAAGAGTCGATTGTCAAGAACCCCAAAACTTTATCTGAACCACCTTTTTACTGCATTATCTATAGCAAGAGATAACATAATATCAGATTATGAATAGAGAAGTCTGTGAGAAACATTAAATGCACTCATGATTGGTCAAGAAATGATAAGTACAATGTTAAATTAAAATCACTGTTGAAAAATGGGAGGTTGTGTACAGATGAAGGAGTAATTTTAGCAACTCGGATGCTTTTCTTGGTCCTAAACCAGTTACGGCTCTTGAGGTCAAAACTTGGGCACTGCCAAGAACAAGAAAGCCCCCTTTCTAGCTCCAGCAACTACTCCAAATATGTAAAACATTACAGAGCAAAACCAATCCGATTCAGTATTAAGATGCTGCTTTATGAATCACTGGAAGGTAGCTTTCCACACTTCCTACCTTGCATCAAAAACAAATGAGAAAAAAATGAACAAACAAAATGCTCAGGGAGGATACTATAAATATGAGAAGCCGGACAGCCTTCCATGGGAGGAGAGGGGATTGAGCAGATTGGTTCTTCATGCTTTAGAGCAGAAAATATAAGATGAAACAAGGTAGAGAGATGAGAGAAAAGTAATAAAAAGAAATATGAAGTGCACTCCTGAGCTCTTCCTCTCACTGCAGAAAGGCAACGTGTCTAAAATCGAGGACAGAACATCGTGTTTGGTGGGTTGGTTTGTTTTTTAAAATCAAATCAACTGGTAACATATGGAACTCCTTGCTACAAGATTCAGTAAGGTCAAGGATGCTAGAAGGATTTAAAAACAATAAGATATTTGCACGGATAATAACAAAATCCTCCAGAGTTACCTTAGAGCAGAATACTAAGAGCTTTCCCTCTTTCTTTTACGCAGACAGCTTCTTCTGTCTCACTGCCTGGGGCTGATGTGAGAGATCTCTGCACAGGCTGGGCTCTCTGCAGCCGTCCCTGGCTGTCTTCCTCCCCCCACCCGAGCAGTTTGCTTTGGTCATTGTCCCACACACAGTCCTGGACAAGGAAGATTGATTATCCAGTTTGGAAACTCACGGCCATTTCATAGCTGAAATCCCAGCCTCTAAAACAAATGGGAAATCCCCCTCGACAGCACAGTCCCAAATCTCGGCACTTGAATTATAGACACTCCATTCTCTGTTTTGGTTAGCCTTCATGCTGCCTTTTGTTTTCAAAGATTTACTAACACTGCTAAGCTGATTTTAATTATTGCTATTATTCAACTGCACTAGGAAGCTTTCTTTAATATTCCTATTGTATTTTTAACAATGCCTTTACAGAATATTTTTATTATTCCCTGATTCAGCCATTTTGCATACAATTTCCTGTTCTAGAAATCCTTCTGAATCATGCGTTATTAGAGAAAATAAAAAGATGGGCATTTTGCAGCAGCTTCACTCTATACTGATGTGGCATTTATTCAGCACTGGCAACACAACTGCCAGCCATTCCCACAGGGATGCAAAGCTGGAGCGGAGACTGGCTGTATATTTTACAACCTCTCCACCTCAACTTTCAGACAAGTTCAGCTAATGACCTCTGCATAGCTCTTCTTGGAAGAACAGTCACCAAAATGAAACGAAGCAACCCACAGCCCTGCAAGGGAATTCTCATCTTTATTTTACTGACGGGAAAACCAGGATTTAGAGACCGAGAAATCACGAGAAGCTTAAAAACAAAGCAGCACCAGAGCCAAGGCAGAGCCATGGCACACCCCGCTCCAGCCACTGGATAAACCGTTAATTAATTTGAATTTGAGGTAGCACAAAAGCTGTAAACAAATGGGAAGACAAATTACAAATGGAAAGGAAAGTGAAAGGTTCTTGCTGTGAATCCTACAGAAGCACAGTCTGAAGTGCGGTTACCTAATTGAGGATAACTGCTGTCGAACAGTTGCAGTGAATAAAAGTCTGTCAATACGACTGACACTCGACTGGCACTCTGTAGAGCGTTATGGGAAATAATGGGTTCAAGCCACCACATCAACTGCTGCTACTTCTTCCGATGTCACTTTTCAAAGCGTGAGCCTTTTTTTCCTCTCCAGTCAGCTTAACAAACCCCCCCAGAGTGCTTCCAGGGAGCTGCCGCAGGGCAGAGCCCCGCTCCCGGGGCACGCGGGCTGCCGGAGGGCTTCAGAGGACAGAGCAGAAGTAAAGCAGCCAGAAACATGTGAAACTGCTCTTCCAAATACCGGCACCCAGGTTGTGCACATAAAACAGAAGCTGTAAAGCCAGACAAAGCCACTTATACGCAGAACAGCATCAGGATGCTCCGGCCCCTGGCAATGCGCAGTGAGTGGCTGTGACCAATTACTTGCTTGTGCAAGCACATTTTGGCACATCAGGCCTTTTAGCATCAGTATGGATTCCAAAAAAAGGACCGATGAAACGGCTCTTAGTACGGTGTCAGCCCACAGTTTAGGAGCAGAGTGCCAGTTCTGCCACAGGGCTATCGGCTGACGTCAGGCGAGTCACTACGCAACCTTAGACCTCAGCTTCCTCATGTGCAAAGGGCAAGGACGAAGCTGATCTGCCTAGAAAGGCACCTGAAAATCTATTTGAGAAATCACCACTTCTTTTTTTCCCCATCATTGTTTTAAAAGGCATTTTCACTTCACTCGGATGTTTCAGTTCCTCAGAAAAGCAAGCAAGGAAGCAAATTAGCCCCGGAAGTTTTCTTGATGCTATGTGAATGAACTGCACTGTGGTTATGTCAATATTTATATCAGCCACTCTATAGTGCAGACAGGTTATTGGTAATCTTTACTGTCTGACAAGAAGAAAAAGAGAAGCATGCTATTTTTGGTTAAATTAGTGTGTTTGGGTCCTTGTTGAAGTTGCTCACGGCTTGCAGTGAAGCGCAATGTTCAGTTCTAATAGTGATAAACCAATGTTAATATGTGCTGGGGTGAGTTTCGCGCAAGTGATCTCTCTAGCTCATAAAAACGACCCTCCAGTGTATTTTACCATCATAGCAAGAGAGGCTTATAAAACAGCTACGGTGGAAAGTAAATAAAATATAAATGACTCATGTAAGGGAACAGTTTCCCCACTGTGGAGACTTTGGGCAGTGTAGCACTTTTTATATTATACTGTATTAAGACAATTTCTTTGATCTCAGCAATAAAGTAAGTTGGCCCAGCTCCTTCATTTTTGCTTAACAAAACTAAGATCTTTTGCAATAACTTTAGCGTGACTGCTCAGAAACAAGTCCAACAAAAATAACAAGTGCTGGCAGGGACCTCTCCAGTCCCAGGCTACCTCCACGGCCAGCAACACCAAGGTCTAGTTCTGGGGCCCTTGTCCTCTGTCATCGCCAGACTCTACTTGCCACAAAATACACTGAACTAAATCAGCTCTCTTGCCTTACCTGCTTTGAAGATCCACTCCAAGTATCCATTTAGTTCCCGTTCAATCTGCTGTTGCCTTCGGAGTTTCAGGAAAGCTCGACGATTTTCCACCCTCTCTCGTTCTTTGGCAAATTCACTACAGAGAGAGAATAATGATAAAACACGTCACAAGTGGTCAGTAAAACTATGCAGCCCTTCTTTCGTCTTTCAGATTGCGTTCATGAAGCCTACGAAGACGATGACAGCATCAGTAAGTGGAAACCACAGCATGGTACGTGCTGTTGTCCAACAAACTACTCCTTTGATTGTAGCTCGGCTGTTTTTCTGCTTCTCTCATCCTGAAAGCGGACTGCAAACTGCCACCTGCACACGCTTCTTTCATTCTGGGGCCACACCATATCTGTTATAATGAGATCCTGATGGACAACCACATCCACCCATCCAGTCATGCCAGACAAATCATTTTCCCCTAACACTAAAGGCTGTCCTCCATCCCTCTCCACACCACTCGCCCCACAGCAGAATTTCCTCTAGAAGCACAATATTATGTCGCAGGGGCACCAGCAGCCTTTTGGTGTTGGAAGAGATCTACTCTTCCCTGCTAGCCTCTCTCCAAGTTTTCCCAGGCTTAAGTCAACTTTGACAAACACAAGACAAAAAAGAGCTACAAATGAGGATGGATACTCTGGAGTTAAGGTGAAATGGTCCAGATGTTTTGAGTTGAAGGTAACAATGACCCTGCTATTTGCTAAAATCACTTGGAAAGCAAGTATCTTGACATCAAATCACTAGAACAGGACTGTACAGGGGAGTCAGGGAGTAAGACTTACCCAACCATTGCAAAAAATTTTGTCCAGGTATATCCTACTGCCTGGTCTGAAATTGTTCTGAGCCAGTAGTGCAGCCACCACCCTGAAGACACCCATGCTGGGCCTTTCCCCAGGCCAAGTTTCATCACCACTGGGAAGCTTCTGACGCCCCACTGGGAGATGTAGGTGCCCACCTACCATTTATGGAGCTCTGAACCAGCCTCTGCAACCCCTCACTTTGAGCACGCACTGGAGTGACTCCCACAACAGCTTAATCTATACGGTTAAACGTGGGATCAGGCTTTTGTCCCTCACGTATACCAGCAGTTCACTCATTCTCTCATTTGACATCTGAACTCCACTGTGTCCTTCAAATCTTTGGTTACCTGTTAATTGTTGTAAACCTGTAGTTAACCACTGTTCTTGACTACTATCTCCTAAGCACCTCATCATTACTTTGATGGTGATGGAGCACTGGAACAGGCTGCCCAGGGAGGCTGTGGAGTCTCCTTCTCTGGAGATATTCAAGACCTGCCTGGACAAGGTCATGTGCAGCCTGCTCTGGGTGACCCTGCTTCGGCAAGGGTGGTTGGACTGGATGACCCACAGAGGTCCCTTCCAACCCCTACACCACTCTGTTTCACTACCAACACATGCTCCTCAAAATCTAGCACAGAGTAGGAGATGAGAGGAAGGTGGAAGAATGGGGGTGTGGGAAGTGCTGCAAGTACCAGAGGCAGCTGTATATTCAGTCTACACTTTACCCTTCGAGGCTTCATTTGGCAGGACTGTCTGACCCATGGAGATGGGACTGCGGGGAGAACTTGGGCCAGCATTGTGATGCACGTCAGCACCAGCCACTGATCAGGGAGCTGCCATCAGCTGAGCTGTTATCTTGATTTTAGCAGTGCATCCCAGTCTCCTGACTCCCCTTCTCCTGTCCCCACCTGACAGCACAGCCCGTGACCCCATCCTTGAAATGGAGGAAGCCAAAACATCTCTCTGAACTGACAGCCCCTCCTTGGCATACAGCACTCATCTGTCATTCGATTTGGGATCCTGCATGTGTCAGATGGACCACCGATTTTCTCCCTCTTCCTTTTCAATGTCCTCATTTCTGGTTCAATGCCTGCTGGTAGGGGCCACAGACCTCCTCTCAGTTTTGATTTCTCCCTGGAGCAGCAGGAATGGGACAGCACAAGGTGACAAGACGCATTTAAATTGCCAGACGTGGAGGAGCCACACTTCCCACGTTACAGGCTCACGTCACCACGAACTTCCCAGCGCTGGGCTATGCCGGGTGGGAACAGGAGGCAACACTCAGAGAGGAGTTTTGGGGACGACTGCAGTGGGCAGGAGGGACAGTAGATGAGCCGTGGCACTGCTCCTTTGTCCCTCAAGAGCAGGCAAGGGAGCGCTTGGAAAGTCTTTCATTCTCTGCCAGCTCCTATCTGGCCTAAGGAAAGAGGACTTGTCCCTTTAATCTCAACTTTATAAACATGTGAGAAAATGAGGGTACAACTTTGCTAAGTTGCAAACCTTCGGCAGCTTCTGTACAGCCATGCACACTTTTTGCAAGACACCAGAGAGGAACGCTGCTGAGGTTAAATCCACTCGCGCCCTCCTGTTCCCTGCAGCGGGCAGCTCTGGTGCTGCCGTAGAAGCTGGGAAGGTACCTTTCAGGAGAAGACAGTACCTAGGGTCTCTGCTCATTCAATGTCTTCTGAGTGCCATGGAGATGGAACAAAATAGTCTAGGTCAAAGATGGGAGGGTCTCGATGTATGGTCTTCCTAGCAAAGCAATGCATCATTTGTTCTTTTCTCCTAACTCCAGGAGACAGGAGATCTTTGACGATGCTGGAACTTGTCCAAAGACTCTGTTTTTCTTTATGAAATGTATTTTAAAAAAGCATGCATATGTGTCTCTTCCACTATGTTCATTGCCGTTCAGGAATTGAAATATTCCCCATTTGCAGCAACCGGAAAACTCCCGGAATTTCCGTTTGAGAGCTCTTCAACAAAATTTCAAAATATATTCAAAGAAAAGGCAAAAATTTTTATCAAAATGTTGCATTTCACCTAAAAATATTTCAGCTGAAGTTTTCCTGGCCATTCTAAATGAAAACACAGAAGGTCTCATGGGAACATTTGGTGGCAGTAAAGAAGTTTCCCCTTTTATTCAGCATAATTGCCATTTCTGCCACTGACCTGCAAAAATCTCCCAAATCACCAGAAAGGAAACCTGAACCAGAAACGTGCTGCCTCTTGCCCAGCTCTACCTCCGAGACTTACTTCACAGCTGGTCCTCACACTTTGGCCAGTTCTGCAATGAGTAAGAACATTCAGCCATTTTCATCCTTGGCTCTCATCAATCACCACGTGCCCCAAAAGCCCTCCAAAATACTCATCTTTCAGCACTGTCCAGCTAGGCATTAAAAGGAGGAAAGCTGAAAGGTCGGTACTCCTACATGCAGCACAGCAACAGGAGACTCTGCCTTGGAGTAAGCCGAGCTCTTCCTGGGTAGATGACTACAATGTATTTTAGTTACAACATGACAGTTGTGAATAACTGATTCTATACAGACAGCAGGAACAAAGAGAAATCAAAGGAAGGGCATTCATCATGGAAACCACATGCCATCCAGCCAAGCTCAGTGTGTCACATTTCTCTTCTCAAGAGTGGTCGGTGCTTAAAGTCATCAGGAAAATGGATGATTGTTGCTTATCGCCGCAGTGGGTGGAAGAGTGAAATAAATCTCAGTGCAAATATGCAATGCAACAGCCACTTCAGGGAAACTCAGGAGCTCCCCCCAGCCACAACAGAGACAAGGTCAACTCATGAGTAATCACCAGGGTCAGTAAGAGATTATAAACCAATGAAATTCTTACAAGTACTTTATCCATGCTGGTCTTAAATTAAAAATACTGCCACAGCAACCAAAACAAAACAAAAAAAGAACAAAAAAACGCCCACCACAATCTTCACCCCCTAAGTCTCTGATTAACTTTGCTATATGTCGGCAGAGCCCCTGAGATGGAGCATCACGTAATGTGCCTCGTGGTCTTGGGTTTCACGGCACACTCCCAGGGCCAGCGACAGCAGGCCTGCTGCAAGACTGATCGCACCATTAAAGCTCTGCAAGTCAGGTTTTCTGCTTCGAAAGCAGACAGAAATACTTCCCACTCACAGGCAAGAGGCAGAGAGAGATCATATAGCATTACTGTCATTGCTACCACTATCAGTGCTCATGATTATAACATAGGTAATTAGCTCCTTGTTCAGAACAACACCATGGAGCTACACATGATCTCACGAAATCTCACATCTTAAAATGGGAGAAGAGCCTCCTTCCACTGAATCTAACACACTGTTCAGAGGGAGCAGAGAAAGAAGCACAGAACTCAGAAGGATTCCACCAAAAACTCCCAGAAAACAGCTGTAAAAGACATTTTAAGCCTAAAGCAAACAAAGAACCACCCCACCCAAACAGTTTTAGGACTGATTTCATCTCCAGTCCAAGTATGTCAAAGGAACGAGCGAAGTTGAACCTGGATGGCGCAGGACATCTACGGACAGAGTCCTGCCTGGAGAAGTGGAGCCCTCCAGAACGGAGAGGAGCCAGATCATTCAGGTAGGTGAACTGCCAGCGAAGGAACCAGCCAGCACTGCAGATGTTTGACTGAGTTAGTCACAAGCCAAAATCAATTCTCCAGGTGGAGAAACAAAATTGGCCAAGACAGAAGGCTTAATTTGTAAGCTTTGTTGCTTGAATGTGGAGCAGTGCCCAAGAACAGACTCGATACTTGTCAGCAGCCCGTTAAGCAGCCCACGTCACTCCAGATCAAGGAGGAAAAGGCTGGAGGTAGAAGATGGATAACAGCAACTCCTCTTGCTGCCTGACAGGCAGGTTGGAGAAGCATCACTGCAGGAAACACGTGCTGGAAAAACGGTACAAAATCACGAGTGTTGTGCTACTTGGGGGCTACCTGGATGAGGAGAAGTGTTAAAAATTCCTCTCGGTTTCAGTCCATGCCTTTTACAATCAGCAAAGACAGAATCTCAAAAGAAACTTGGTGCAAATTATCCACCTAACTTTCAGTAAGCCTTCAGCAAGAGCAGCGCTGAGGTAGTAATTTCCATAAGAGGCTGCAAGAGGACTGCAGATATAAGAACATGTACTTGTAGGAACCCAGACACACGAATATGCTGAATGAAAAGAAGAGGCAAGATGCATGCCACAATGTCTATATTTTTCAGCAAAACCAAGTTTCTTGTGCTTGACAGGCTGCAGCCACTTGCTCAGGGGCTGTACATCACTTATGAGAC